TTTCACATACAGAAAATGGTGGGTTTACCCTAAAATGTATTTCAAGTTGTGCAGATGCCAAGAGTGAGTGAGAATACATATGTGGAGTCATTAGCGGCCCATTTCCTTGTGCTTTACCTGACACCTTCCTTTATCTCTCATTCAAGAAAGCAGACCAGTGAATTTAGAGAGGGAAGTGCCGCATGCTTGGTTGGATGACCTTATGCTCCTTTAACATTTTACCCAAATTTTCTTAAATGGCTTACAACAACACGTTTCAAAGGGTTCTATTTTACGCTCATGCTGCCCTTCCACTGGGTTTGCAAAGGATCTCTGTGGGCCAGAGTCACTTGGAGATTGTGGTTGATAGAGCTGCATGATGTTGGATGTTGGTGAAGAGAAAATGCTAAAGTATCAACCCAGCAAACTCTGGTACACAAGTCTTTTCCACTCAAGGCATTGGCTGGAAAGAGACCTATGGCCCCACCTCCCCACAAAGGGGCCTTAAAGTGGAGAGATATGAAAACATTTGACATACAAGACTAATAATCATGATTGTAGTAAAAATGTGTTGAAAGAGCAGTTTCAGTAAGAGCAGAGATGAGCTTGGCAGAGGTGGGGCCAGGACTCCATTGCAGCGTTGCTCGTCCCACAGCTGATCACATTGTTCTTGAAAGCTGTTTTCCAATTCCATTCCACTCAATAAATGTTTATAAACGTCCTACAGTGCAAGATACTTGGCTATACAAAAGTGGGCAAAAGCAGAATTGGTGGTCTCGCTGTTATTTTGAATGCTGTACTCCGACTACATTAGGGTCAACCTTAAGAAAACTGACAGTTTTGAGCCCTCCCTGGTGGTGCAGTACACCAAGCTAGCCACAGCCACCTCAGTGCGAGTTCGATCCCAAGCCGCGGAGGTGACCCTCATGGAGAGGCAGACGGCTCACCAGTGTACTTTGTCAGTCTGCCTGTTCTGCTCCCCACTCTGTCTCTGGTGAATCCTCTCACTACCCTGTGGCTCAGACCTGTAGCCCAGTTCTGCATGCATAAATAAATAAATCTTTAAAGAAAACAAAAAAGAAAGAAAAACTAACAGTTTCAACAATGAGCCAAAACTAAACCTGACTATATGTGAACATTTAGACTATAATTATGGTGTGGACAGGTATCACATTAATTGATTTCTTCTTTTTAAAGTTAGATCCCTTCTTTATACTAGTTAGTAAAATATATTATAGACAATTAATATTGACACCAAAGTCAAAAGACTACAAAAGCCAAAACAGATAAATTTCATTAAAAAAAGAAACTTTCATACTTTAAGAAAATCATCAAGAAAGTGAAAAGACAACCATAATGGGGGAAAATAATTGCAAATGATGTATCTGATAAGAGACTTGTATCCAAAATATATTTTAAGAAATCTTTTACATTTAACAGCTAAAAAAGATAATGCAATTTAAAAATGAGCCAAATATTTCAATAGACATTTGTCATGTACTTTTAATTTACAAGTAAGCCCATAAAAAGATACACAACATCATTAGTCACTAGAGTATTGCAAATTGAAACCACAATGAGATACCACTTCATATTCATTGGCTTGCTATAATGAAAAAGTAAATAATCATCAGTAATTGGATGTGGAAAAGTTGGAATCTTCATACATTGCTGGTGGGAATCTAAAATGGTGCAGTCACTTTGGAAAAGTCTGGCAGTTCCTCAAAAGTTAAATAGAGAGTTATCATAATAACCCACCCATTCTACACCTATGTATATACTAAAACAAAGTGAAAACACATTTACACAAACACCTGTCCATGAACCTCCATAGCAGCATTACTATTACTTCCCAAGTGGAAACAGCCCAAATGCCCATCAACTGATGAATAACAAAATGTAACATAGCTATACATTACCCAGCCATAAAAAGCAATGCCTTATTAATCGATGCTTCAACTTTGATGAGCTTGGAAGCATTTGACTGACAAGTGAAAGCAGTCAGACACAAAGGGTCATGCATGTTCTGTTGTGATTCCATTTATTATGAAATACCCAGAAGCGGCAAATCCATACAGACAAGTAAATGAGTGATTGCTAGGGTTTGGGATGAGGGTGGAATAAGGAATGGAATTGGAGAAGTTCTTTATGGGTTAATGAAAAAGTTCTGCAACCTAATGGTCACAGTTACACAACTGTATGCTGTATGAAGTTTGACATCATTATATTAATAAGGTACGTGCATCTTTACATGTTAATACACATATATAATATGGAGTTGTGAGACACCAAGTGATATTTTGTGTGCTTTTCTGTTTCTCCCTCATCCAGAGGACATGCATTACTTGTGTCAGTAGAAAAAGCCCTGTTGAAATCAATTTGAATTCAAAAGCTGAGATTTTGCATTTCTTTAATCATCTCCAAGTGACCATGACTATATAGATCATAATCATACTAAATCTTAGAATAAGCAAAACAAAATTGTGTTAATAAAAGATTCAGGAGGCTGGTTTCCTCTGGGTGAGTGTCAGCAGGGATTGACTTGGAAAAGGAATAAAGAATTGGTCAGGGTGTTGATAGGGGTTTCTGTTAAGCAATTATGTGCTCTTGTCAAAGCTCAGGGAATGCATGATTGTGTCATTGTATATATATTTTACATTAAGAATTATAAAAATTGAATTTAAGTTAATAATAGATATACTGATATATTTAGGGGAAGTGTTTTTTGAGATCTAAATTTTTCAAATAAGATGGATTAAAGGAAGAATGACAGAGAGACAGATGTGATCAAGTAAATATAGTAATGTCAAGTAAATATACAATCAAGTAAATGTACATTCAATGGTAGAATGTAGATGATGGATAGCTAGGAGTTTACTGCTTTATGCCTGAAATGTTTCATAATAAATGGGGGATCCAATATAGATGACTACCCCTCTAACCCCAAAACTCCATCTTACTTGCCTCTTTTCCCACTCCCTTTTAGACATTCCTACTTCCCTTGATTGTGAAATTCATCTTCAGTCCCTACCAATCATCCTTGATTTCCTTGTTTTTATTAATGGTGACATAATTTTCTAGCTGTGTGCATTTGCAGGATAAAAATAATTTTTTTCTTCCTTTCTCCCCTATTTGCAAATCCAATTAAGGTCTGAATTCTTCTAATTTGCACTTTATCTCACTTCTTTCTCCATTAGCAGTACATTATTTCTGCACCAATTACCTGCATCCTTGTGGCCATTTTCATGGAGAAATAAATTGTTATAGCTAAGAAAATAACTTGCATATAATCTGATGCTCTCCATCTTTTTAACTTGCTTGTCTGTGGAACGATTCTGATACTCAATTAGAATTTACTTGGTCATCCTATCTTAAAACTCTGAACTCACTTCCCTCACTTGTATGTTAATAATTTGAAACCAGTTTTGACTCCTATGACCATAGACTCCTACTACAGAAAATAAGTATGTATTCTATACCATCATTGACCTCTAGGCTCAAGTAATTTATCTTGGAAGATTCACCAAAGAATGAAATTGCTTAGAAGCTCAGGAGTACTTCATTTTTTATTTCTTCTAGATAGCTGTTGGTTACAAACCTTAAAAATTTCCCATGTTGGTAATTGCAGCGAAAAGTGTATTGGGGGGTCTCAATTATCGACGGGTCTGTATGTCAGAACGGAACTGAGGTTTATGAGGAATGGCTCTATCATAAGCATTTTCCCTGGGGTAGTTCGGTTGCGCAAGACTTCATTCTTAAAAGGACACGGCAGATCTACTCTTCACTTGCTTGGCAGAGCACTGGGTTCTTCTGAAGAACCCTGATTCTTCCAACCTTGTATTAGCCAATTCTTTTTCAAAAGCTTGTGGAAATTGCGTTTAAAACATGCAATGCAGTCCATCAATTCTTTCAGATATTTTAAACTTTATTCTCAGGAGAAGCCAGATCATTAGAGAGCTCTGTAACTGGTCGCTACATGTTTTCAATAATTTGCTGCTTGGCTTTATGCCATTATTTTACCTTGAGGTATCTATAAGAAAATGACTTAAATTCATGTTTACATGCATTAACTCACAGCCTTAAATTATTTAGTGCTTATTTTATCAGGCATCATGCTAGTTATGTTCAGTACCTCATTTCAATTTAAAATTTTATCCACCCAACGTTTTCTCATGGGAAATAATCCCCATTTTACAGATCCAGACATTCAGGTTCATCTGATTTTTAAACCTGGTACTCTGTTCCACTAGAGAAACTACTGGGAACGTTCCCACCACATCTCACTAAACAGCCTCAAGTGTCCCTATGGAGTTCTTGACAAACATTCCTTCTTTTAACCTAATTCCCAGTTTAATCCTTTTCCCCTACTTGTATCTTTCCTTCACTTATTTTCTCACCTTTTTTATATCATTGTAGTAAAATGTTTTCAATAAACTAAAATCCTTTAGGAATTATATTCCATTGAGGTATAAAGAAATAAAAAAAGAAACCCCTCTGGAATCATCTCATAATTACTTTTATTTAATATTGGTTAGATTTTTCTCACATTCTTTGCTTTCATTTAATTTTCAGGTTTCTATCTTAGTTTATACACTGCTTAAATTATGAAGCAAATGAGGAAAGTCTATTTTAAAGTGCCCTTTGATGCTTCTAAACATAATAACTAAATTTTACCCTAGACTAGCTCAGCCAACATAAAGTCTTCCAATCAGATGTTTGAGGAACGGGAAATTAGAAGTAGTGAAAGAACAAAAGTTCTCGATAAAAACTATTACAAAAATCCAGATTGTTGGCCCTCCCTGGTGGCGCAGCGGGTTAAAGCACAGCACTGAGAAGCTAAAGCCACTTCCGCATGAGTTCGATTCCTGCCTGCCCCTGGAGGTGACCACATGGCGCGACAGACCTCTCCTGACCCGCCCGCTGCTCCCCTCAGCAATGTACTTCCTCAATCTGTCTGCTCCCCGTTATGTCTATGGTGAAGCCTCTCACCGCCCCTGAGCCTCTGGCCTGTATCCCTGTTCTGTATGCACATATAAATAAAAATAAAAAAAATAAAAAATCCAGTTTGCACCCTTGCTTTGAATGGACAGGATCTGAACATAGTTCGCAGAATAAGGTCTACTTATTGATCTACCCAATATCACTTTCAATGTCCTTCAGATTCTGTTCGAAATTGTGAAGGCATTTCTGGTCTAATAGAAAGAACAGATTATTTCCTAATTGGAGTCATCATCATTTTTCATCGTTTTTAGAAATGCCTCTTCTGTACCAAATAATCTTTTCTAGATGGTCTAAAATCCTATGTTCCTGAAGAGCAGATGTCAAATAGCCATTCAAAGGGAACACCCTGCCTTCTTGGTTCCAAACGATTTTCTTGGTAATACTGTGTGGACCAACAGAGAACACTGGTTTTTCTACCTACTCCCTTGGCTCTCTGTGGTTTCAGGTTTTATGACCACTTCACATTTTTTCACTCTAGCAATGCTTTTGTTGTTAAGCCTAACTTCAGTTGGCTTCACTGCATGGTATTAAAGAACTCCTACACTGGTAGCCCCTCGGCCTTTCAGAAGCGCACTGCTCTGAATTGTGATCTTGCTGATCACAATTGCAGGGTTTAACTTGCTGAGATACAAAAGCCATTCCTAAATTCTCATAAAGTGATTTGGCAAAATGAGACCTAATAGGCTTTGGATAAAGGAAGAAAAACAAGTTAGGTATTAGTTTCTGTTACTTGGGTATTATTATGTGAGAATAGTAAATTTTTCACTTCCTCACTTTTAGATTCAAATTGTTTGTTCAGCTTAAGTAGACCTATAGGAATAAGGGAGGATAAATGTTCTTTGAAAAACAATTTTATTTCAAGTTATACACACATAAAAAAAGACTGGTGTAAAGATATATTTGCTAGCTTTTAACATCATACTAGCCCCTTCAATCAAGATGGAGTTCTTCATCTTGTATAAAGTAATACAATTCTCTCTAATGGACTTCTTACTCCTTTAGGAATACAAAGTCAAAATTTGCAATACCAGTGGGTCTAGCCCATAACACTTTCATGTGAAGTTCATGAGATTGAGTATCACTGGTATATTTCAGTGATTTTTTCAATGGCTCTCTCTTCTGCCTTTTATATATTCCCCTCAGGAAATTCACAGAAAATATTTTTTCCCTTAACTTATTAAATAATAGTTCAACTTCTTACGCTTATCAACTAAGTAAAAGTGCCACATTAGAAGGGTATTCTGGCAAAGGCCAAAAAATCCCAATAAAAGAACTGTATAGTGGGTAAATGTATGATGGTCACTGGATGTTTTTCAGATTCAAAATACAGATTCCCATTAATGTTTCTTTGGGTTCAAGGATCCCAAAAGGGAAAGCGCATAAAGAAAGTCAGAAGGTAAGGAGATCACAGGCATAGAGAATCCAGGATGGGGTGGGGGCAGGTCTCTGCCATAACCTCCTTGCTCTTGGCACCTTCACCAAATTATCTACAAGTCTTTCATATTGGATGTGACTTGTGTATTCTGAAACTTACTCACTAAAAAGATGCGCCACCAAGTCCAGTGAGGCCTGTTAAGTTCCCACTAATGTTTCTCTGCCATCAATGAGCTCATTTGTGATCAGAGAATGAACTGAGTGTAGCAGGAAGTTATTCTGGCTCCTTAGTATGCAGCCTGTAATAGGAGAAGTAAAGTTTTAACCTTTAACAGGAAAGGGAAAAAGTTTGCAGTCATTGCAGTTCTATTTTAAAAGAAATGAAAAGGAGCTCTGGAACCTGGGCTCCTCCTCAGAGAAGTGCACCCCAAGTCTTATGTGGCTCTGGTCCTGGCAGGCCACACGCCTCCTGTTCTCACAGCTCCTCTCCATCTGCTTTACTCAGCCCTCAGCTGTGAATATTCCTGTTTATTATTTTTGTGCATTTTTAGCACATCCTGGGGCAGCCCCAACCATGTTAGGTTGCCTGGCCACCCAGGTAATCTCTGTAGGTAACAGTTATTGTTTTGTTAGTACTTGATCACAAAGATGTACAAGTTTTGAGAAAATTGTCCCTACACTTATTTCTTAGCATAAGTTCTGTTCTTTGTAAGGAATATCTTTGGCGGATTGTATCATTTTTCAGGAATATGTATCTTGTGTTATGGCCCGAATCCTTACTTTGCACTTGGTGGATACTTAATTATTACCGACAGATTGTTTCTGGTTAGTTAAGTACATCAGAAGAATTTTAAAAAGTGATTCTAAGGAATGCCTGTGTTGTGAATGAACCTAATTACAAGAATTCTGCAATATCATTAGACTTTTCTAAAATATAAAATCTTTAAAATTCATTTTAACTTGGGCGATGTGCTCATTACTCTGTATTACTACTTTTTTTTTTTTAAGATTTATTTATTTATACAGAACTGGGGTACAGGCCAGAGATGTGGGGGGCGGGGCAGTGAGAGGATTCACCAGGGACAGAGTAGGGAGCAGAACAGGCAGATCGACAAAGTACACTGCTGAGGGGAGCAGTGGGTGGGTCAGGAGAGGTCTGCCACGCCATGTGGATCTTCTCCGGTGCAGGCAGGAATCGAACTCATACGAAAAGTGGCTTTAGCTTCTTAGTGCAGTGCTTTAACCCCCTGCGCCACTAGGGAGGGCCTGTATTACTACTGTTTTAAAGAAATAGAAGCCAACTTTTCGTTTTCAAAGATCGATGAATAATCATCCATTAATTCTTGAAGTTGAATAACAGGAAACTGTACTTGTTTCTCAAACCATTTGGCAATTGTGAGAAGCTGCTGGTCACAAAATGCTCGCCCAATAAACTGCAGTCCTATTGGCAACCCCTGGCTGGAGAGGGCCACGGGGACATTCACTGCTGGCAATCCTGAGGAAAAGAAGTCCATTAGTTGGTTAGTTCTTCATCCTAGGAAGTAGACATTTCCCACCTTCCTTGCTGGGTATAAGACAAGAAACGGTTTGAAAAAACAAAAACAATATGATATGATGTACATACTCTTGTGCCTTTCTATGTTCACTTAACAATGTATCTTGAAAATCACTATCAGTTCACAGTTACTTATTTTTTAATAGTTGCACAGTATATGCATTATATGGTTTCCACAAAAATTTTCAACCATTCTTCCATGGTTAGACATTTATTTGGGTTTTCAGTATTTAATTATTTTATACCTCTCTCCAGGGAATAATCTTGTGCACATGGGTTTTGTTTTATTTTGTTTTTGGTGGTATATTTGAAAATTCTCAGAAAAGAGGGATTGCTTCATCAAAGGATAAATGCATATGTAACAAGATATTGTCAAATTTGTTCCACAGAAGTTGTACCAATTTGAACTCCCATCAGCAAAATGAGTGTCTTTTTCCTATAGCCTCACCAACGGCATGTTTTTGAGCTTTTGAATTTTTGCCAATTCATTAGATAATAGGTCAAGGCAGTTTTAATTCCAAGTTTGGGACAGAAAATACAAGGTCCTAGAACATTTTGTTATGGCATAAAATAAGAACATTTTCAAAAATGAATTGTGTTAGGTCTAAGGGATAAAAACAATTTAAATGGGTTCCTGTGAGTTAGATTTGGGACACTCTGATGTACCTCAAAAACAATGATATTAATTGCTTATAATATTCGATTTTTTTTTAAAGGAATGCTGTTCTTTAGCAAAGAGTGCTGACTAACATATGTAGAAAGAATGATAGAATTAGAAAAGCTAGCATTTTGTGATTCTCTGGGTAATAATTAATTCAAGCCCAAATCATCAATAGTTGCTAAAATTGGATTTAAGCTTATTAGGAAATAGGATAGCCACATGGTCTCACCAATTACTTATATTTGATAAAAAAGATAAATGTACCTAAACATCTGGCAGTTACTTCCTCAACCAAGGGATCGCCTTAGTTTCTAAAAGTGGAACCACTGACAGAAGTGGTTTCCTGATGTGACAAGTATATAGTATTTCTGCCAACAATGTTCAACTCAATTGTGAGGAAGGAGATTATGAATGGGATGTCCTACACAAAGCATCTACCCTCTTCAGAAAACCCAAATGTTAAAAGGTGGGGGATTTCTCATCAGAAACCATTCAGGCCACATTTCTTAAGTGCTAAGGAAAAGAACAGAAATAAACCCTATATCCTCAAAAATAACTTTTAAGAATGAAATGAAAATAAAAGATATTCTTAGAAAGAAAGCTAAGAGAATTAGTTGCCATCAGACCTATCCTAAAAGAATGACTAAAGGAATTTCTTTAAACAAAAAGGAGATAATAAAAGGAAAAATCTTGATATACCAGAAAGGAGGATCATTTATAGGAAGCAAAAGTATAGTTAAACATCATAGCCTTTCTTCTCCTTTTGGGTTTTCCCCATTATACTTGATAAAAAAAACAAAAATTATAAAATAGTCTGATATGGTTCTTAAAAAAAAAAAAGAGAGAACTCAGGGGAAGTGTTCTAGATTTTAAAGAGACACAAATGCAGTGTATCAGGGTAAAAACAGCTCACCAAATACTTTTTGGGTACAACTGAGAAAATTTAAACACAGTCCATATTTGTGTTTTCATTATATTAATGTTAATTTTCTGAGGTGTCATAATGGAATTGTGGATCTGTAGAATGTCTTCTTTCTTAGAAGGATTTAGGCTAAATTTTTCAGTTTCTAAAGGTGTAGTGTCATTATGCTGAAAACTTTCTGTAAATTATTCACTTGAAAACAAAGGGGTGTAGTGTGTGTGTGTGTGTGTGTGTGTGTGTGTATGTGTGTAGAAAGAGGGAAAGGAGAAAGCAAATGATGCACAATGCCAAAAAAGACGTGAAGTGATTACGCATCTACATTATACTACCTTTTCAAATTTCCTGTAATAGTGGAAAATTTCAAATTAAAACTACTTTAAAAGTAAGCTATTAAGGGCCCTCCCTGGTGGCGCAGCGGGTTAAAGCACTGCACTAAGAAGCTAAAGCCACTTCTGCATGAGTTCGATCCCCGCCTGCCCCGAGGAGACCACATGGTGTGGCAGACCTCTCCTGACCCGCCCGCTGCTCCCCTCAGCAGTGTACTTCGTTGATCTGCCTGTTCTGCTCCCCACTCTGTCTCTGGTGAATCCTCTCACCCTCCGCATCTTTGATCTCTGGCTTGTACCCCAGTTTTGTATGAATAAATAAATCCTTAAAAAAAATTTAAAAAAAAAAGGTAAGCTATTAAGTGGATTAATTCTGAGTGTGTGAGTATGTGTGTAGTGGGCATAAGTACATTTGAGCTAATGTATGGTCATACACACAACACACACATACATTTTTCTGAGCATTTAAGACAAACTAGTGATTTTCAGAAACAGTCTAGCTAGAATTAAGTTGGAGACCAGATTCTAAAAATCTGAAGAAAACCAGAACATTTTTGAGGGATCCTCACCTGCCATATTTACAGCCTGAGTAAAAATGTCATCCTGGGCACTTCGTGTTCTGTTGTCTTCTTTGATGAACTCCATGTATGGTACAGCCTCACTCAAAGTGGTGGGAGTGAGCAGGACATCCACTCCAGAGTTAAAGACATTCATAAAATCATTAGCAATGAGTCGTCTCACTTTCTGTGCTTTGACAAAGTAATTCTCATAATTTCTGTGGGGGGGGGGAAATGACATTATAAGCTTCTTGTTATTTCTTTTGAAGCAATTCTCACACATATTGCAGGTAAAGAATCAGTATACTTTTCCCTTTCATGAACAGGAGCCATTAATATTCCCAATGACATATTAAAATGAATTTTATTGAACTATGCTGTTATTTTAAAAAATGTGTCTATGTGGAATTTAAACAATTAGAATTTGTTACTAGATGTTATTCTGCACATATAATCACAAAATATTAACATTTCCTGGGGCATCATTAAGCCAGAACTTCAGTTTTAAGTGAAGAAAACTAGAAGCACAGTAGTTAAATGATTTCCCAAAGTCCATAAAGACAGACAGTGGTAGAGGAAGGACGAGAGCTTAGGTCTCATAGGCTCATCACAATCCTCCTTGTAGTATAATGTCTCATTTCATTTGTAATATAATGACAGCTAGTTGCTGTAAAGATTCTGAAGTTTCGTAGAATTGTAACATTCCATCAGAATCAGGTATTAGGAAACATTTTCTAGGAAGCAAAAACTGGGGAAAGTATGCAATGTTTGGAAATTTGTATTTTATGAATAGGCATAGCCTAGGATTGGAAATGTGAAATTCAAGAAAGGATGCTTACTTTAATAGAATAATTAGGGACTGAGACAATGTTGGAGTGACCCTAGGTCAAGGAGGCAAAAGAAGGGAAACACACTCAGTCCTCTTGCAGCTGCTAATGAGTACTGACAAAGTAGCAGCCACTTCAAATTTCAGTTTCCTCACCTGACATATGGCTATAACTCTAGTTTTACAAAAGACCAAAATATAAGGACATAAAAATATCAAGTCATTTTTAAAAAGATTGATTTAGTTATGCATACAGAACTGGGGTACAGGCCAGAGGCGCAGGGGCAGTGAGAGGCTTCACCAGAGACAGAGTGGGGAGCAGAACAGGCAGATCAACAAAATACACTGCTGAGGGGAGCAGCGGGCAGGTCAGGTGAGGTCTGCCTCGCCATGTGGATCACCTCTGGGTCTGGGGATTGAACTCGCACCGAAGTGGTTGTGGCCAGCTTGCAGTGCTGTGTCCTAACCCGTTGTGCCACCAGGGAGGGCCTCAAATCATTTTTAACCTAAAAAATGTACTGTAGAAATATATAAGATGTCCTTACTATCTACTCCAAACCTGAATTTTATAAAAGAACAATTCTGTTTCCTATTAAATTTCATCCTCTTTTAAATATGACCCAGAAGTAGAACTTCTGCTTCTATCAATGATAGGCCAATTAGGGTGTGATTTATGCTGCTGATTAATAAACAACTGGAAAGTACACAGAACAAAACAATACTATTCAGACTTTCGACAACCTTCAGCATTCAGGAGGGGGGGTTCTGAGTAAAGGGGTGCAAAACAAATGAACCCTGTGACTTCCCTGAGGTAATATCTGGGGGTGGTTTATATGTCTTAGTGAGTTGTCATTAAGTTAAACAGAGAGAGATTGAAGTTTGGGGCAAAGGTTTGTAGAGCAAAGTACTAGACAAAGGAGAGCAGCACAAAGAAAGAAATCAAAAGAGAAAATCTTTGAGTTACAGTAACTTAGAATTCTTTCATAGAGCAAGTAGATACATAATGAGAGGGAAAGCTAAGTAAATGCACTAAATTTTTCAAGACACACCTATGTAAACTACGTTCCTTCTGACAATAAGAAACATGGCAACAAGAGTCAGTGGCTACTTAATGAGGTTATAATTCTTTGGGGCTTTTTACTTAGTTTGAGATCATCACTTAGCTAATTCATCAATATTTGTTTGTTTTTGGGCAACAAGGAACCAAAAGTCCATAGACAAATTTTTACGCTGGCCTTCCTTTTCTAATTTAAATAGTTAAGAATTCTGTTTCTTTAGCAAATATCTCAACTTGTAAGACCTGTCATGCAGCTACTTTACTCTTGAGTTTTTAAAGAATGGGAGAAATTCCTAAACTAATTATCTTACTCTTTCAATAAAAAAAAGTTTCCAGAGAGAATTCTTCCTCTCACCACATCATTGAACCCTTCTCTTCTGGTTGCAGCATACATGGCTTCAGTAGACACATCAATGTCACATCTGTGACCTGAACAGAAACAAAGGAGATAAGTATTACCTGAGAAGGACATAAAGTTTTGCCTGAAAGCAGGCCCACATTCACATTTGTGACCAAGACTAAAATTAATGGAAACTGCATTTGCTGATTCCTCTGTTTGAACTGCCTTGTGACTACTCACTGGTCAGGAATCAAGTAGAGGGAAGAAGTCAAGCAAGAAACTCGATTTGTTTACCTCCTCATTCACTCATTTATCTGAAAGTTTACTGAGCTCTACCCTGGGACTATATTCGACAGACTGATGATATAAAGATAAAATATTCACAGACCAGAGAGGTGAAATGAACATGAGGAAATATTTCCAACAGTGTTGAGCATAAATTGATGAAGTAAAATGATTCAACCATTATCATTACCAGGCATTTGTTTTTGGCAACTAAGTGAACATATCAACAGTTTAAGGCAAGTACCTTACAAATCCAAAGCAGAACCATCTTACCATATTCTAGTCCATCAAATCTTGCCATATTCGATGCCACTTCTGATGTGCATAACACGTGGTAGCAAACAATGGAGTAACTGGTGTGGGGCAGTGATACTTCAATTACTCGGGCCCCCTTGGACTCAAAGAGGTCAGCTGCTTTGGACCAAAGTGATTGCACTTCACTTGATAATTCTGGGGCAAGATATTCCTTATTGGGAAAAGATATAGAAATTGGGACATTTGTGTAGATGATTTTGTAAAAATTTGTATTCTCTGATCTTTGGCAATACATTTAGAAAATCTGATTACATTGCTTAGAGGTAGCTAGAAAGATCGAATCTATTTAAGAATGTTTATGGCACCTACCATAGTACTAGGTGTTATTAGCCAGATATAACACTATTGAAGATCAATGACCAGGTTGGCAATCTTACAGTTGGTGGTGGGAGTGCTAACTCAAGGGAGAGGCAAGTGATGCTGCCACTAAACATGGAGGAATGCACGCAGCATGGTGAGTACCCCTAACAAAAGCGTCCAACGAATATTCAGACTGCAAGCAAAACTATCCAAAGAATATCATGTGAGGAATGGCTCTGGCCTTTACATCATTAGCAAGCTATGCATTAAAAATTATGCCATCTGTCAGAGATGACTCGTCAGCTATTTTGAAAAAAGTTTTGTTAGAACAGTCAGCCACTTTCATTTTCCTATGGCTTTGACTGTACTGGCAGAGTTAAGTAGTTATGACAAAGATTCTGTGGCCCACAAAGCTGAAAATATTTACCTTACAGAAAAAGCTTTTAGAATTGTCCCTGTTTGACATTATTATCTAACTTAATCCTTATCAACCTATGAGATCAGTTCTGTTATGACTTTCATTTTACAGACGGGGAAACTAAGTTTAGGGAGATTGAGTCATATGCTCAGGTCATGTAGCTAATAAAAGTAGAAGAGAATCCAGGTATCCAACCAGTTTGCTTCCCAACTTTGCTCTGTATTGTAAGTGACAGTATTTTGTAAACAATTCAAGGAGAGTTACCTTTGGAATTCCTATACATAGTTCGCTCACGTTTATCAAATTGGGGAGAATAAATGGTTTAACAGGATCTTGCATTGTGGTAGAATCTTTGGGGTCATGCCCTGCCAGTATACCTATAAGGAGAAATACTTGTGAGTTACACTATTTTTACAGTGAAATTATAATGTTTTGAAATTATATGAAATCATATAAATACCCAATACAATTGCTGCGTCATCCACACATCTGGTTAGGATTCCTGGCACATCCATTGAATTCACCAGGGGAATGAGGCCATGACGAGAAACTAAGCCATAGGTTGGTTTTACGCCAACAAGCCCACAGTGGGCAGCTGGATTTCTGGTGGATCCGCCTGTATCTGATCCTAAAGCCCTGGGATTTAAAGTGGAACTCTGTTTATAAGAATGACATATCTCTAATTATAGCTGAGTGCTCCACTTAAAGATGCATGTTTTTAAACTAGCTACCCAATTATACAGAAGTACATATGCTGTTTCAGAGAATACATAAAGTATAGAAGCAGAGGGGTAACAAGATATTCCACCACTCAGAGACATGATGTTAACATTTTGGCATATTGACTTCAAGCCTCTTTTAAAATGTATTTTTCTTTCATAATTGAGGTCAATCTGTATTCCTATGTCTCAAATCTCCTTTTTGCTTTCTTTCACTATGTTGTTAAAATTATTTAAAATTTAAAGTTACCCAGAGTTACTGGGTCAAAAGTCAGCTCTTACAAGTTTTTTTTTTTTTAAGGTTTATTTATTTATGCTTATTGAACTAGGGTACAGGTCAGAGGTGTGGTGGGTGAAAAGATTCACCAGAGACAGAGTGGGGAGAGCAGAACAAGCAAACTGACAAAGTACACTGCTGAGGGGAGCAGCGGGCGGGTCAGGAGAGGTCTGCTGCACCATGTGGGTAAGCTCCCTGGCTGGGGATCAAACTTGTGTTGCAGTTGCACCACCAGGAAGAGCCTAGCTCTTATAAGTTCTTAATATGTGATTATCAAATTGCCAGAAAGATTGTCTGTTTGTATTCCCAATTGCAGTAAATCAGATTGTGTTTTAATGTTTCAGAATCACCACTTAAACACTTTAAAATATATTTCATTTGATAAAACAAAAAGCTTTGTTAATAATGTGCAGTGTTGAGTAATTTTTCACACTGATTTATATACATGTTTTTCTTATTAAAAACAAAAACTAACTCAAGGAATGAAAATTAGTCACAAAAGTATAGAATGGATAATTTCATGTATATGAGGTACCCAGAGTGATCAGATTCACATAAACAGAAAGTAGCAGAGTGGCTGCCCCGGGCTGGGGAGCAGGTGAATGGAAGCCGTTGTTAGTGGGTACAGTTCAGTTTTGTAAAAGAAACACATTCTGGAGATGGATGGCATAATATGTGTATGTACTAAATGCTGCTCAACTCTACACTTAAAAATTGTTAAGGGCACCCCCTGGTGGTGCAGGGGTTAAAGCACAGCACTACAAAGCTAGTTGCAACCACTTCAGCATAACTTCAATCCCCAGCCAGGGAGGTGACCCACATAGCACAGCAGACCTCTCCTGTCTCACCGGCTGCTCCCCTCAGCAGTGTACTTTGTCGATCTGTCTGTTCTGCTCCCCACTCTGTCTCTGGTGAATTCTCTTCCCACCCTTGTACCTCTGGTCTGCACCTTAGCTCTATATGCATAAATAAATAAATGAATAAATCTTTAAAAAAATTGTTAAGATGGTAAATTTCTTTATATAAAAAATTTTAAATTAAATTAAAAAAATTTAAACTGGTTTAGAAAATCAGGTTTTCTGATTAGAAAACTGTACACATCTACTGCAAAGTTAAAATAATAAAATTCAATATGATGTATACATCATATTTATAAACATCAAGAGATGTTTCTCTAATAATCAAATAATCACTGCCCTACTAATAGCTCTGTTGTCAATTTTGATATACATTCATCCAGGCACTTTTTTTTTTTTTTTTAAGATTTTATTCATACAGAACTGGGGTACAGGCCAGAGATGTGGAGGGTGATAGGATTTACCAGAGACAGAGCAGGGAGCAGCACAAGCAGGTCGACCAAGTACACTGCTGAGGGGAGCAGCGGGCGGGTCAGGAGAGGTCTGCCACGCCATGTGGTCACCTCTGGGGCAGGTGGGGGTACAGGCCAGAGATGTGGAGGGTGATAGGATTTACCAGAGACAGAGCAGGGAGCAGAACAGGCAGGTCGACCAAGTACACTGCTGAGGGGAGCAGCGGGCGGGTCAGGAGAGGTCTGCCACGCCATGTGGTCACCTCTGGGGCAGGTGGGGATCGAACTCTGCGTAAGTGGCTTTAGCTTCTTAATGCTATGCTTTAACCCACTGTGCCACCAAGGAGGGCCCGGGCACTTTTTCTTAATTATAGATTATTTATGCATGTAAGAATAGGGATGAAGCCCACAGGTAAGGGAAGGAGCAGTGAGAGGATTCACCAGAGACAGAGTGGGGAGTAGGACAGGCAGGTGGACTAAAATACACTACTGAGGGGAGCAGCAGGTGACATAGGAGAGGTCTGCTGTGCCATATGGATTAGTGCCCTGGTCAGCTGGAAATTGAATTCATGTTGCACTTGATAGTGCTGTCTTTAACCCCTGTGCCACCAGGGAGGCCTCATCCAGATACTTTTTATTCACCTACTAACATGTATACAATATGTAATATTTACTTTTAATAGAAATAAAGTCATACTATTCATACTATTGTGGAACTGCTTTCCATTTAACAATGTATCTTGGCTATCTTTCCATGTCATTATATAATGCTCTATCTCATTCTTTTTAGTGGTTGCATAGTACTCCAAGAATCTTCCTATTTTTAAAAACTACTATAAAAGAAATAAAAGGAGGAAAAAGTGGAACACTTGATAGTTTGGGGACCATTCAATCTGGAGTTACTCTGGGTCTGTGCTACCCTTAACCAGAGTGTAGCTTTGGACAGAACAAGGCTCCTAACAATCACCTGGCCCTTCTACTCTACTTTTTATTCTAGAAGAAAATGCAAATTAGACTGCCTTTCTTACCAAGTCCATTTGAGCTACAAAATCAGAGTACTGCTTTCACAATTTCTAAAAAGAAACATTTTCTTATTAGGATTCACTGACGGCTGTGTAAAACTTACATTTCCACAGGAAATGTGTCAAAATGCCATCTTCTCAAAGCATATTCAGAAAGATGAACATTAAGTGGGTAAAAGAGGATAGAAAAAAAGCATCCAATCTTGTAGTACTAACTTGTCAGAACTCTCATTAATATTAATGCAGTGCTGTAAAATTCCACAGAGATAAAATGAAATGGTTTCACTTGTTAACAAGATTTCAAGGAAACTAAAAAAAAAAGCTGTAGACGCTAAATCTCCATAGCACTAAAAAATATAAATAATTTACAGGTTGCAATGCCTGCGAAGAGCTTAATTTCAATGGGTAATTAGGAAAGAAACATAGATACAATGCTATTAAAGAAATACATTCAGTTGGTCAAATTGAGATGGCTAAAATAAATATAATAGCAGTGCTATTAATTTACTATTATTTAGGTGGGTTAAGAGATAGAACTTAAGACATATAAAGATCAGTGGAGCTTTTCCAAATACAAAGATGACAGCTGCATAAGTCAGCTCCCTACAAACTTGAAAAACTTTACTGACATTTTTTACTATATGAAAACACTTTTTAAATACCCTATTGATATATAGTAGGGGAATTTTTTTCATTTCTTGGGCAAATATCAGATTTAGCTATAAGATAACCTACAGCTAGCAATTTAGCTTAGCAGCATTCAATTGAATCCATGGTATTTAGTCCCTAAATACTTGTATAATCAGCGGGCAGTCACCAAGTATTATAAAAAGGAAATTCATATTTACAGGATTCATAAAATCAGGTTTTTAAGAGGCCAGTTACTATAGAGGAAGACTACAAGTCACCTGAAATTAAAGGTAAATGTAAAAAATAAACATGTGAGCTGTGTAATTGGGGACATTAAGTATAATTTTGATATATCATTAAGTACAAATAGCTCACTAAAAAGAAATACACGCACACAGATATAGACTATATTTACATTCTGCATATGCTTTCTGGTCATTTGCACCTATTGTGTTTGAAGTGCTGACAGAAAGAAGCCTCTTACGCAAAGCACGTGAACGCTGACACAGCGGCTGCACTCCCTCCCGAGCTTCCGCCGGTTATGACCCAATTTGAATCCTCATTCTCTGCTTGGGGCTTCTGTTTTCTCTTTTCTTTATATTGTTTTGAATAACTCCAGGGGTTTTTAACTGGTCCAAATATACCATCTGTACTTCCAGATCTGATGTGAAGAAATAAAGCAAGAGACTTCACTGAAACTTTCATTTTATATTAAATCTTCATCTCTGGTTTATATTATTTGCTTACGACACCCGACAGTCCACACTGTAACTTGACATGGAAAAAATAAGACGTCTGCTTAGATGTAGCTCTCTCTAATAAGCAGTTGAAGAATAGGAAGTAAGTGCATTTGACACACTAGAAAACTAGTGTGTCAAGAAAATTTTTACTCCAGCTGCTCATTCAATTCAGTTTAAGGTGATTTTCCTATAAATTACGGTCTTACAGTTAAAGTGTCACGGACCTTCAGAGAATAAGTCTCTTGAAGAAATTCCTCTATTAACCAGAAATTTTAAGTAAAGCATTAAAATTGGGATGCTAATAATTTATTTCTTAAATTTTGAAATAATTTCAATATTACAGATAAATTGCAAAATTAAAGTAGTATGAAAACTTTCTACCGTGTATCTGTTGTTAAGATTTTATCCCATTTACTTTACATTTATGTACTGTTTGTGTACACATTTTTTCTGACTCACAGAAGGTTGAATTATATATATTTCATGACCCTTTACTCCTAAATATTCTAATATGTATGCAATATGCATTTCCTAAGACTAAGGAAGTATTTTTCTTATATAATCATAGTAATTAGTAAATTTCACATCAATACAATGGATTGTTGAACATAATCCAATGTTGTCATCTGATCCTTACAATAATGTCCTTTACAGCATTTCTGAGGCAAGTCTAGAGTCTGGTATTGCATTTAGTTGTCACTGGTTGTTTAGTCTTTTAAAATTTTTTTTTTACTTTTTATTAAGTCAGTCACCAGTAGTGGATATTGAGTATTTCCAGTTTCTGATTAATTATGAATAAAACCTCAGTAAATCTGTACTGAAAGGCCAGTGCTTTGTGTAAACATAAGCCTCGACTCTCAATGTGCCTAGGAGTGTTGGATTGGTGAATGTGTTGAGACTGTGGGGTGTCACTCCTGGAGAGAGCATGGAAAAATCCTGCCCTTCCCCTGTACTTTGCCTTATATGTCTCCTCCATCTGGCTGTTTCTGAGTTACAAATCCGTAATAATTAATGGTAATTTAGTGATTGGTAAAAAAGACCAAGAGAGAAAAATAAGTGACTTAAAAACCAACTTTACTCAGAGAATAGAAATGAAAATATGCTATGGGATTTGAAGACAGTATACTTAACTCTTTCAACTCAGTATTAAGACAAATAACCCAATTTAAAAAACTGACCAAAGATTTGGATAAGTCATGAAAGAGGATATATAGCTAGTAACATAAAGGCACGATGTTTAACGTCATTACTCACAGGAAATGCAGATGAGTGCCACAATGAGATATGACAGCCTATCTACTGGACAGCAGAGCACAATCTGACAGACACTTCTCAAGAAATCACCTTACTACTTTTAAAAGAAATTAAGCACAGATGGAAGAATTACAAGAAAAGAAAATTTCAGTTTTACTTACCCCATAGCAAACTCATCTAAATTTGTTTTTCCCATTAATAGAGCTCCCTGATCCAACAACTTTTGAACTACTGTAGCATTATAAGGTGGCACATAACCTGAAAAAAATCCAGATACTTTACCATAGGAGAGAAAATTGTGAAGATGTAATAAAAAGATTTTAAACTGCAATTAAGCAATAGACATGTTATTACTCCTAATTTGAGTAGCAGGCTGTTTTTCTAAAAGTCAGTTAAATATTTCTGTTAACTGCTATGCTTCTGAGACAATCTGCATACTCATCATTTTTATAATCTAAAAGCAGTAACAGTTAATATTACAATATATTGAATGATAGTATGGACCCAATTTATATGAAATAAACAGCAAAGCAAAAAGTTCACTCTATTTGACAATACTATAGCACATGGAAATTTTTATCTATTTCCAGGCAGAACAGGTCTTTATTTGAATTAAAATTTCCTCTATCTAATACCTATTCCAAAACAAGGAACAACAAAGGGACCTCCTGTCAGAGGAACCTGGGAAACGGTCCTTGTAGAATATTTCTTTTAGTGTATGTGCAACTCTGTGTAACTTTTTTTAAAAATTCTTTTTCCCCCTATGATCCAACATCTTGAGACACATGGCTCCTTTTGACCTACTAAGTTGTAAAGAACAAAACTACATCTCATTATATATTCAGGTAAATACAGAAATATAAGAAATGAAGGTGTTTGGATATAAAATAACTAGTAGATGCTAATGAATTGTCACACTGAACTGAAAAATAACTGTTTTTTATAAAATTGTTAGTGCTTTGATTAAAATTTACCTTTCAGCATATTTGATGCACATGTTGTCTCAATGCCAGAAGTGCTAAAGTTGTCTTTTACAGCAACAGGAATTCCATCTAAATACCCGAGTGAGTGACCTATGTTAAAAAGCCAAAAGAATAGGATACATGGAGCTGACTAAAAATATAGACACATTAATACTAGTTATTATAATGAATACTAGTTTTTGGTAAAAATAATTCTTCAGAAATCAAAGTTATGTTAGAAATTGGATGTTATAAAGCTTCACATATCCATTAGCCTCATTTTTATTATACCTTATGCAAGTGCTTTAAGAGTATATAATAAGTTAAAAGCTTCACTTGCCAAATGGAGATGGCTACATTCAATTAAACTCTTTCTCTAGGGATATAATAAGTACAATTCAAGGTAATTTACCTTTCTTATATCTCTTCTCTGATTCTTCAGCTTGCTTTAAGGCCACTTCTTCTGATACAGTAATGTAAGCATTTAGAAACTTGGTCTTCTTGATGAGGGAAAGACATTTTTGGCAGAGCTCAGTTGGAGTAATTTGGCCTTGTTTCAGTGCCACGGAAACCTATAGTATATACAGTTAAAAATCCCTTTATTGTAGCAGTTTCAGATATTATACTGAAGAACAGACAGAGTGGTCAAGAACAAAGTTGTACATTAAGGTTTAGATTAAAACAAAGAGTCTACCAACCCCCATTTACACAGTATAGTAGATGAAGGTAGCACTCTGATCAGTCAGGGGATGGGCTGAAGGACAAAGCACTCATCGCCCTTGCTGAATAGCTTTCTGTTTCTAAGTCACACTTGACCAAACAAGAGCAACAGCTTAGGTGAGCTATCTCCTCTGGGAGCAGCAGCAGCCCAGCACAGGGGGAACATGGGTTAGAGCAGATAAGTATGTTAGCTGCCTCACAGACAGTACTGAGTGGAAAAAGAGAAATGGACTAGACAAGCAGTGGAGGACTTTAATGCTCTAAATAAGGTCTTTATTGTAGAATTTAAGTAAGAGCCAGTACATATTGAGAGAAATGTTTGTATGTTGAATTCAGAGGAAATGAAAAGTAAATCTTTTTGAAATTCTGTCTCTGATGCACTAGGAAGGTTTGGTAAAGAAAACACTAAAATAATCTGTGCCACAAGTGACCAGAACCTGTATGTTAACAGTAGATGAGAAGTGAGGACTGTTTAATACTTCTTCTAAGAAGCAATAGTAATAAATACTAATCGGATAAAAGGAATGAATAATAAGAAGTCAAAGATGATATCAAAGTTAAGAGATTACATGAAAAGAGACTTGGATAAGATGGGAATTCAGAGGCTGGGGGGCGGGGGAGAAGTAATATTTATTGAGTGTCTGCCAAGAGCCATGCACTGATGCTTTAGACTTTTACTTCATTCAACAAACAATTACATGTTAGTTATTTTTTTAAAAGATTTGTTTATTTATGTATACAAGAATTGGGGTATAGGCCAGAGATAAGGGAAGGGGGGGTAAGAGGATTCACCAGAGACAGAGTGCAGAACAGAACAGGTAGATTGACTGAAATACACTGCTGAGGGGAGCAGCAGGGGGGACAGGAATGGTCTATCACACCATGTGGGCCACTTCCCTGGCCGGGATCAAACTCATGCTGCAGTGGCTACAGAGAGTTATAGTGCTCGGCTTTAATTCCTTGTGCCACCAGGGAGGACCTATGTTAGTTATCAACTTCATTTTCCAGAAACTGAAGCTGAAAGAGGTTAAGTCATTTGTCCACAGTGACACATAATAAAGGGTAGAGTTAACTTCTTAACGCACGCTCCTTCACCATTTCTGTCTGGACTAGTAGAAGCTTAGTTTGTCTATATTGCTGTATTTGCATGTGTCATATCTATCAAACAACAGCAGTGTGTAATTCAGGGGGAAATCTGCAAATGATCTGTTCTGAACTGTTAAATAAATCATCAAAGCAGTGGTATTTTTAGGGCTAAGAGTTCTCAACAACAAAAGCAATGGGAAAGACCACTGAGAGGACCCCCTAAATGCTGATGGACAAGAGGAAGACTGTCACAGGGGAGCTGAGGAAGTGACTCATGTTGGAAGGACAGTTAGGTTTGACTTAAAGGAGGTAATGTAGTAACAGGAACAGATATTTATGCTGAGTGTTTCGTATGAAATGTACACTCTAGAAGAAAGGAATTAGAGAGAAATGAGAGCAGTATATGCTAATAAGGAGCAAGAAGAAAGAAGGCTGGATGCAAGAGAGTAGGAACTAGCAAAAACCCAAAGCTAGAGGACAGCAGTTCTAGGCAGACCTACCCCATGGCAGAGCTGCAGTAATACGGAATAGTACGTCTGCCACTTTTTCTCCTTTGCCTCCCCTAAAATGCTCAGTGCCTACTATCTATCTACTCACGTAGTCAGCAAGAAAATAGGACCTTAGTGCTAAAACTGAGCACAGAGGATTCTGGCAGCAAAGGATGAGGTGCACGACTAATGTGTGGTCACACTGCTCTGCAGCAATGTTAGGAAGAGATAGAAAATATTCAGAAACCTGAGTAGAGAACCCAATTTAGAAGTGTAAACTCAGTCATGATGTAAAATCTAACTTGCTTAGCATGATAACAAATGATCATGAGGGGAATAGCTAAGAACCTAGCAGCTACTCCATTTCCAGACTCCTTATCCACAAATGCTGAGATAAAATCGTTTTTTTTTAAGATTGTGTTAAGTCAAAAAGTTTATACTAATTTGTTATGCAGCAATAGACACGTAATATACTTTTTCTTTGAAAACTGAGGAATTCTTTCTCTGTAATCATTCTTCTTGGAAATAAGAACAGAAAATTGGAGATTTGTATAATTTTGCAATATTGTCCTCATTGTTAGTAATGGCACATAGTTCTGGGCATTATCCAAGATGCTTTATAATTCATTTAATTTTTACATTTATACTAAGGGGCTAATATTATTTCCACTTTCCAGATAAATTACTGAAGATCCTGCATGAAGTCATGTCTAATCTTGTTTCCAAAACTCATACTCTGGACTACCATATTACTTCTCTATGCAAGATGTTAGCGTGTTTACTCTTCTGTAACAAAGTAGGGAAGGTTTTATTATCTTTATAGATAGCATCCTAGTCCATTTAGGAAAATTTTTTCTTAAATAATCATGCTAATTGCTGAAGGCATAGAAGACTGCTCAAGGGCTAAGTGTCCAGTTGAATGGTACCCATTTTCTCTGACACACCCATTTAACATTCATGCTTTTGTCTCCACTGTTTCAAGAAATTGCATTATCAGAATCACCAGCAATTTCCGCATTCTAAATCCAGTAGTTATCACTAAGTCCTCACCTTACAATACTTCTCAGCAGCATACAACATAAGAGAAAACTTTCTTTGAAGTACTTCTCCTTCACTAGTACTTCACTAGTGTTTCAGCACACACATCCTTCAGGATTTACTGTTGCCTGCCTGGCTCTGCTTCCTATTGCCGACTGCTACATGTTGAAAAGTTTTAGGTCCTCTTCTGTTTTTACACTTGACTTCCCAGGTAATCTTATGGGACCTACAGCGTTGTCTTTTGTACTCTGGTCTACATCTCCCCTCTATCTAGTCCCTTTCTTGAGCTCCAAATTCCTATCTACCTGCTTAACTGACAAGACATGATGACAGCATGATTAAGGAGGCATTTCAAAATTAACATATTCAGAAAAGAACTCTTAATAACCTTTTCCTCCCAAATATTCCATATAGAGTCCTTCCCATCTTGATAAATGTTACCATCTCCCAGTATGTCCAAGGGAAACACCTAAGCATCCTCCTTCAGAAGATTTTGGGAGACCAGGAACCACCAAATAATGACTTGCATATAGTAAGCGTTAATAAATATTGGCTAAAGGAGTGATAAGTAAAAATAATCACTTCATCAGACAACCTCCTTTGTACCCTTGGGTAGCTCCTCTAAATGTTTATCCCCCTTGGTGTTAAAAGTTACTACTTACAATGACTCACTCAACAACACCTGGAAGTGGTGGTTCAAAAAAGTGGTCCTAAAGAGGAAAAAGGCAGGAAAAAAATAATCCATGCTTTTTCTGTTATATTTCATTTTAAAACCTTTAAAAAAAAATAGAACAAATTGGATTCTTAACTGTTGGCAAAAGCCAGATACAATACAGTAAGATGATAACACAATATATGTTAGGAAAGAACTATGTATTGTTTAAGGTTTGTAGCTTTAAAGTCCTTATAATTTTCAGCTTTCTAAAGGCTATCAGGCTGGGGGGAGAAATCCCAGAGGTAGATCATTAACACCTTATCAGCAGAACCACCTGGATTTCTGGTAAAACCATATAGATCCTCCTTGACTTCTAGTAATCAGGGTTATATCCTGAAAAGCATTGTAATAAAGTGTTGAATACCTCATGTCATTTATAGGTTACCTTAATGAAAGTGAAAAACAGAAGGATTGCACAGATGCTCAACATTAACATACACAGCAGAAAAAAGCTGAATGCAACTTGGGCCTGAAGGATGTTTGAAACACTAAAGTTAACTGGATGATGGGGATGCTGCAGCAACAGGGTCATCAGATCTTCTGATGAGTCATGTAGTGAGCTGATAAACGGCTTTTTACCCTTATTAACTGCGTGGTTGATTGGGTGATCTGCCCACTGCCCTTACCAAACATCATAATATCTTAGCACATATTACTTGACTAGCTGAGGAAAAGAGCAAATTCAAAATAAGGTATCTACTGAATATTGTTTTTACACCATCATAAAGTAGAAAAATCATAAGTCAAACTATTCTAAAAAGAGGACTATCTGTATAATCTGCGCCTTACTACACATCTGCCTGAGTGAAACACAACTGTAGTTTTTTTTTTTAAGATTTATTTATTTATTTATTCACTCATATGGAACTGGGGTACAGGCCAGAGATGCGGGGGGGTGAGAGGATTCACCAGAGAGGGTGGGGGGCAGAACAGGCAGATCGACGAAGTACACTGCTGAGGGAAGCAGCGGGCGGGTCAGGAGAGGTCTGCTGCGCCATGTGGATCTCCTTCCGGGCAGGCAGGGATCGAACTCATGCAGAAGTGGCCTTAGCTTCCCAGTGCAGTGCTTTAACCCGCTGCGCCACCAGGGAGGGCCCACACAACTGTAGTAAGGACCTACAGTGATTTTGATAGCAGTAGACCTGCAGTCAGTCTTCAGCTTGGGAGATATGGGCCAGAAAAAAAAGGAGACCTGAATTAAAGCCCTAACAGAGATAAAGTGAGAATAGATTCTAGACATAATTTCAAAAGAGGTAACAGGGCAAAAGAGTTATTAGATAGGATAGATCAGGAGGAATCTAAGGGCAATTAGGATAAAGGCAAGTGCTACTGAAAAAAGAGTATTAAGAACTCGGAAATCAGGGCGCTCCCTCGTGGCTCAGCTGGTTACAACACAGCACTAAGAAGCTAAAGCCTCTTCTGCAAGAGTTCAATCCCCGCATGGCCCAGAGGTAATCCACATGGCGCGGCAGACGCCCCCTTAACCCGCCTACTGCTCCCCTCAGTAGTGTACTTCGTCAGTAGGCCTGTTCTGCTCCCCACTCTGTCTCTGATGAATCCTCTCACCACCCCTGCACCTCTGGCCTGTACCCCAGTTCTGTATGCATAAATAAATAAATCTTTTTTAAAAGGAACTCAGAAATCAGTATTTTTTTTTAAAGCTGGAAGTTTAAAAAGAGGTGGTCTTTTCGTTAAATTGAGTTTTAAGTCCGTATGAATCATTTGGAAGAGCTGTCCAGAGGATATTTTGTAAATATAATCTCGAGTTTAAAATGATTTCCAGGAATTTAAGACACGGGCATCATAGCCGATGCCTAGAGAATGACTATATCAAGAAGTGTATGATGGGAAAGACGGGCCAAAAGTAAATTGTTTGCATTTTGCAAAGTACAGATTTGTACAGCCCCTTCCGAGAACTGCATCAGAGGAGTGTCAGGGATTCCAACAAATACTTGAAAGGGCTGGCATAGCCCTAGCAGAGATGATCTGGGGCCTGAACCAAACGAGCAAACGTCTAATTCAGGAAGTCAGTGTATATATACTTCCGACCCACAGCTCCATCGTACAGAAATCTCCCTTGCTAAGGTCCAAAGTCCAAAATGGCTGAGGACAATATCGCATAAGCACCCCAAAGATCAACATCCCCACCAATCCCAGGGAAGGAGGCTAGGCTGACCAAGGTGCATGGTCAAGCCCGGAGTCCCCATGTCTATAGATTCAGCGAATCTTTTCGACCTCCCTGGGCCCTCATCAGCCAGTTCCACTCACTTCTCGGAGGGTCCGACCCAGCATGGTCTTCGTACCCAGCCTGTCACTGCAGGGATCAGGTGACAAGAGGGGTAAAAGGTCAGCCGCCGCTAGCGGTATTACATGGGCGCAGCCATCTTTGATCGTCACGGAGCCTTTCAGTACCGAGTATTTCGATTGGTCTAATTGCACACAGAGGAAATCATCTTTGCGCATGATTGGCTGTCGTCGCAAAGCAACCCCCACGGAGAAGGAGAGCTGGGAGCAAGGAGACTCCTGGCTGGGGTCGTGGCGCAAGTTGGAAAGTTTCTGGTTTTCTGTGGCGGCTGCGGGGGCGAGCTGAGTCTCCTTGTCACGCCGAGAGCTCTGAGGACAGGATTCTAGGGTGTCTGTTTCGTTGTTGTTGTTTTTTTTTAAAGGGGAGGTGGTAGTGTAAGTGAGGAGGAGCATGGACAAAATAACTGACTGCAACGTTAATTGGAGCATTTCAGATAAGAAGTGCAGAATAATTCCATAATCTTAGACCTCTAATGCTCTATTAAGTTAATTTTTGAATTCTCAACTTTCAGTGGTCAGTGTGTTTGACAGAACTTGATTGGATTCAAGGGTGAAAGGGACTCTAGGTGCATTTTTAATCGGGCACTCAATTCAACCACTGTTCAAGATGGAATTTCTGAAAACCTGTGTGCTTAGAAGGAATGCATGTACTGCGGTTTGCTTCTGGAGAAGCCAAGTTGCACAAAAACCTTCCGTTAGAAAGATTAGTACTACTTCTCCAAAGAATACTGTCATGCCCGCGTGGGTGATAGATAAATATGGGAAGAATGAAGTGCTTCGATTTACTCAGAACATGATGCTACCTATCATACACTTTCCAAATGAAGTGATTATCAAAGTTCATGCTGCGAGTGTAAATCCCATAGATGTTAATATGAGAAGTAAGTTTCAAAAACTTTTTTTGGTTCTTTTTAAAAAAAGTTCTTTAGAGAATTTAATCAGGGATCAGTTTTAAAAGATACTTGATTACACTTTCCCCCCCATTAGTAATAGAGGAATTATTAAGCTTTTGATGATGTCAGTAGATAATTATTTCCATAATACTTGAAATTGCAATGTCCATGGTATACTTTTCATCTCTTACACAAAGTAAGTTTGAGTTGTTTTACTTCCTTGAAAGTTAATTGAGACAAGATGTGTGTCTACACTATCAGATATTCTCACGTGGGAACATTGTGCTATTCTTAAGGTCCATTAGAGGTATAGTTATGTTTCCACGTCAGTTCAGAATTTGCATTTTCGTAATAATTGCTTGTATTTCCTCTCCTATTCCTTAGGTTCTTTTACTGACACAGTGAAGAAAGCAACAGAACAGAAAGCCAGGATGTAAGCTTCTGCTCTGCAGAAGTGCTGTGCATTTTGTCTTCAGCAATTAAAATACTTTTCTGTTATATTCTATCTTAAATGGTAGTAATGCTATCTTAAAAAAAAAAAAAAGATTATGTATACATACAGAACTGGGGGGCAGGCCAGATGTGGGGAGGAGGCTGGGGGGGTTGTTGAGAGGATCCACCAAAGACAGGGCGCGAAGCAGAACAGGCAGATCCAGGAAGACTGCTAGGTGAAAAAGTAACATGCCCATTAATAATTTTATATTGATTACATATGGACCTGACAATATTTTGGTTGTGTTAAAATACTAAAATTTCACTTGTTTCTTGGAGCTTGCATTATATTTATACTGGACAGTGCCAATCTAGACAGTGTGAGGAATAACTATTACACATTTCTTGGTGAGGAAGGTACTTGGGGAAAGACTTGAACTCAAAAGTATCTGCAGTTGGAAAGCCCTATTGAGAATGAATTGACATGTCTTTACTGCGACTGCCTCATGAAATCCACATTTATATCTTGTTTTGAAGCAAGAACTACTACTTATTGGGCATGCTTTACTTCCTTTATATTAAGTACAAAAATAGTTTTTACAGGATGTATCTTTAATTGGTAAGTTTATACTTAATGATCAGTATGGTTTTCCTTTGTTTGTAAGGTATTTGAAAATAGATCTTGTGCTCTGTTAACTACTACCTGATTTGGTTCCCCAGTGAAGCAGTTGCCATTCAATCTGTGCCCCTTTACTTTTTAGGTCTAATTTACGACCACAAACTAAAATTTGTAGCAACGTTTTATCCTTGAGTAAGTCTCCATTTAGATATGTTAATTTTTCCTTTCTTTGAATGTACTTGCACAGTTGATGCTGTGTACATTTAAATTTCAATAGGATGGCTGGATGGACTATCTTGGCTCCTATTTAATATAACACTATGCCACATTTACTTCTATATAGTATTCTTGAGATATCTTCTTTAGTTTTCTGTGACTGGGTAATATTTAAAAGTGATCCTTTCTAAAATTTCCTGTTCATAATTCTTTTTTTGAGGGTATGTTACTGTTGAAGCATGTGATAGCTGAGTTGGTAGCTTGGGGAAATGAGTAGATACTCCCCTTGACAAAACAAGGCCATGCCTGTTTTGAAAGGTGATGCAAGCCGTTTTTTGGAGATGGTCATTGTGGTGGGACATAAAATCGTAAATTGTATAAATGACTAAAGAAATTAATAATCTTAAAATAGAAAAAAGTAGAATCAAAAATACCATACCTACAAAGTTTGGTTTCTTTAGACGGGATTAAAATCTTTACAACTGGTGACACATTTAAAATTTTCCAAATGGTCCCAACTCTGTGACCCAAACAGGTAACCTGTAACAATGAGGTGAAATTCCCCAGGAACCCCATTCATTTGTGTCACTTATCAGGTTCTCCAGTATTAAGCACCAGCTGCTTTCTGATTTTGAGCTAGTTTAGCTAGAGCCACTGAACCAGGGCTGCTTGGTTAATGCATTAAGTATATTGGTGACCAAAAAGACTGTTTTAACCATTTTCCCCCCCACAGGTTTACTACCTCAGAAAGGATCAAACACTTTGCAGCTCTAAATAGCTTAAATTTGGCATGGCTTTGTCACTTTTTTTTTGCTCAAACTATATAGGGCTTTCAATGAATATTTGTGTTTTAGGTAGAAAAGGAACATGTGGAACATGGCTTTTTTTAGTGTTACGCATGACATTGTTTTTGTCCTTGATGGATGGCAAATGTGTAATATTAGCTTGATAGCTATCAGCTTAAATTTTCAACTTTCAACAGTTGCTCTCACTTGTCTTGATTTTTTTTTTTTTTCAATTATAAAGACAGCTTGGCAGGCCATCCGCCTGTCAGCATTTCTCCCTATATCCTTTACCTTCCTTTTATATAGGTTAATTGTCATTGGACCTCTCTAAGTGAGCCTGCCATTTGAGATCTCGATTCTGTCCTTTCTCACCTGGTCAGGAACATTGTTTCAGCAACTGTCTCCTGCTCCATTCATCTTTTCCTTTCTATTGGATCATTCCCTTGGTTTGTAAACATGCTATTATTTCTTCCCTATTAGTGAAGAAAACAGACACTCAAAAACCTTCTCCCTGTTTCAGTTGTCCCCGCCCACATTTGCCCATCTCCATGCCGCTACTGCATTTTTTCAAAGTCTTTATAGCAGAACTACTTGATAGAGTGGAATGCTCTCATCGTCTCCAATTCCTCACTGCGCCGTAATCGTTTGGGCACCTGGAGGGTATGTGACTGGACCAGGCTTTTTGCACCACTGGTCTCTATGGTTGTCACCTGCGGCCTTGATTGTGTTAATGCAGAAGGCTCTGGGAACGTGAGTGTCTGATTGTGGCCACCTGCAGTACGGATGTGCGCATGCATAAGCGTGCACACCTGAGCCAGGAGGCCAGGGTTGTAAGAGACGGCTAGTAGACGGCTATAAGAGGAGTGATTACAGGAGAGGGGAGATCACGAGAGAAAGCCGGAGACCAGATGGAAAAAGTGTAAGGATTTGCTGGGGGTTGGAAGGCTTGGTTGCTGCCAGCCTTGGGGAAGAAGGGCACTGAGGGGAAACCCAGATTCCCGTCCCCCTTCCCGCCGTGCGCCCCACTACAGCACCCCACTCCACAGCCATTGCACCAAAGTCACCAACGACTTCTTTGTGTTGGGAGCCAGTGTTTTTTGTATTTTTTTTTTAAACCTGTTGTCAACTTTTGACCTCATTTGAAAACTGTCTTCACTGTAAGCCGCATTTACCTTCCTTAAATGACTCTTCTCTTGCCTTTCAGGATTCTTCTCTTGCTAACCTTTCTCAGGCTCCTTTTCTGGTTTCTCCTTATCCCTGAGATATAATGTTGTGCAGGCCCTGTGGGGCAGGAAGAAAAGAGAGGTTTCTGAGTGGTTTGATGATTCTGGAGCATAAATTGTGGTGTGTGGCACTAAAAAGATAGACAGGGTACTTACTTTGGAGGAACAGTGGAAATGTTCGCAGAGAAATGTTAACAGCAGAGGCAGTGATGGATACTTTTGTGTTTTAGAGAAGTCATCTTATATGTTGAATGTGTATACGATACTAGATACTACCGTGGGGGCCTCCCTGATGGCCTGAGGGGTTGAAGTCGCAGCACTGGGAAGCAGTCAGCAACCACTGCCAGGTGCTGCAGACATCTCCTGTCTTGCTTGCTGCTCTCCTCAACTTCAGTCAGTCTACCTATCCTGCTCCCCACTTTGGTGAATCCTCTCACCCACCTACACCTCTGGCCTGTACCCCAGTTCTTTTATACATAAATAGATCTTTTTTTATTAAAAAAAAAACACTACTGTGGATTATTTTAGACAAATGGCCAATTTGAGTCAAAACCAGAATATTTTTAGCTTGCTTTGCTGATATTTATACAGATAATTCCTAAAAATAAAATGATGTGTATAATAAAACAGTTAATCTGATTTAACATTCAAAACAGATGCAGCTAAATGCTTCCTTAGTACACAGGAATCTATGAATTTATTTCAAAGATAATGTTCTAGAAACATTTGGAATGTGGGGAATATTAACTCATTGACCATTATCAGTGTCAAATACTATACCCGTGCCTTATTAACTTTAATCAGTAACATTGTCTTCCTCACCTACTTGGCACCAAATGACTTTAAAAAGTTAATAAATGAGGTGCTCCCTGGTGGTGCAGCGGGTTAAAGCAGAGCACTTAGAATCTAAGGCCACTTCCACATGAGTTCGATCTCTGCCTGCCCCGGAGGTGACTACATGGCCTGGCAGACCTCTCCTGACCTGCCCGCTGCTCCCCTAGGCAGTGTACTTCATCTACCTGCCTGTTCTGTCCCCCACTCTGTCTCTGGTGAATCCTCTCACCGCCCCTGAGCCTCTGGCCTGTACCCCAGTTCTGTATGCACAAATAAATAAATCTTTAAAAAAAAAGTTCATAAATGAGTAAATTGAAGATATTATTGTCATAAAACAAAGTAAAACTAAATTAAAAAGTCAACATTTTGAGGACAGTTTTCAAAATTGGAATTTCTAAAATACTTTGAGCAATGGTAGTTTAATTTTCCAAGTAATTTCTTTGAAAAGAACAATACTGTGTTTATGCTAAAAAATTGTAAGATTGATTATAGTGTACATCTTGAGATTCTAGATTTGTACCTGGCCTCTAGCCCTTAGTAGTTTTTAAATCATTCTACTCTTTTGGGAATAAACAGATAAATTTTATTTCGCAGGTGGTTATGGAGCTACGGCTTTAAATATGAAACGAGATCCTTTACATATTAAAACTAAAGGAGAAGAATTTCCCCTGACTCTGGGTCGAGATGTGTCTGGTGTGGTGATGGAATGTGGGCTTGATGTGAAGTACTTCAAGCCCGGAGATGAGGTAAATTGTGAAATGCTGCTGTTTCTCTCTATGTGCAAATTGCATTCTGCTTCTTTTGAAAATATATTCTTTATATTTTTCTTCTTTCCTTCATTTAAACAAATATATGGAACTTGGCTAAAACCTACTTTTCCATGGTTTTGTTTCATAAATTATTCCAAAATAACTTGATCATACTCGTTTTCTAATCCTTATGCTTAAAAATTACAAGACTAAAAAAAGAAAAAAGAATTGCAAAGACTTTAAAATATGTGGAATTGGGGCTTTTTTCTTTGTTGGATGAGTCTTTAACTGACATTTTCTACCTTATGGGTTAGGTAGTTTTAAAATAGCTAAAGTTTCGTATAATCACCTGTCACTTATCACTTTGAACTTCCATACCAAGAAGTTAAATTGAGCTTATAATAATAGCAAATACTGTTTTAGTTTTTTTTCATAAAATAACGCATTTAATCATTATGAAATAAGTGTAGTAAGGAGGCCATACTATATAGAGCTTCCACAGCTAATAAGTAGAACTAGGATTCAAATCCTAGAGACTGTTCTAACTGGTACGCTAAAGTAGTTGACACATCTATTGGACTTAACTGACCTCTGCTTCCAGTGTGGTTTGACTGGACAAGCCTAATAAGTAAGTAAAACTTTGATATCCTGTGAAAAGAATTCTTGTACTTGGTGTATGACTGCCTGGTGCTTTTTTTCACAGAATGGGGTTTGTATTTGGGAACACCCTAATGTTTAGTTTGGGTTAAAATTCCTGTTTCAAACGGAGGTGTGTATGTGTGTTTCAGGTTTGGGCTGCAGTTCCTCCCTGGAAACAAGGCACTTTCTCAGAATTTGTTGTAGTCAGTGGGAATGAGGTAACGCATCAACTCGGTGTTAAAATGCCATTAGAAAATCTAAACAAAGACAAATACCTCTGAAATAATTGGTTGTTTTTCAGGTTGACTTCATGTTTTTTTGAAAGGACTAAGGTAGACAATAGGAAGTTTTGAAAGATTAAAAAAAAAAAAGTATTTGTCATTTAAAATAACGTTGCCTGCCAAAGCGGTTATCTTGTCTTGTGGGGGGCACAGATTTACAGATTTGGAGTGAGATCTAGAAATCCTCGTGTTTCTTGATTTTTTTTTTTTTTTAACCAGTATAAATAGTTGAAACCAAATATACCAAGTGGCGCACACTTGTAATCAAAAACAGAAGCCTGGAAATATCAAGCTGTTTCGAATAACTTGAAAAACAATATAATCAAATACAGTTAGGAGCCTGACAATTTGCGTTGAGTAAAAGGGGTTAATATCCAGGAAACTGGCCACAGAAGGGAAGTCAGGAAGAGAAACTGTGGCTATTACTAAGATGAGAGAAAGCCTGGAAGGGTCACCTTCCAGTAAATGGGGTAAAGGAAACAGCTGATTTAAAAGACCAATTAAAATGTTGTTTATTTGGATTGATTTCTAGGTATAATCAGGACTAAAAGAATTATTATTTTTTTAAATTAAGAATGAAGCAGCTGTATCTAATAACAGCCTTTGAAACACTACTGAACCTCTGTGAGGCAGGTTTCATCATTTGGAGGCTGTTCCTTAGGGGTAATCTTGGAGTAGGGTATACAAAAAGCCCTGACCCTGACAGATGTCACAGACATTTCTTTGAAAACAGTTGGGCTCCTGTGAAAGCATATGTACTTGATTATTGTCCACAGGTTTGCAAGTCATTGCATATTTTTGACTGTTTTTTTTCAAATCTAGGTCTCTTTCAAGCCCAAATTGCTCACTCATACCCAGGCTGCCTCTTTGCCCTATGTGGCTCTCACAGCTTGGTCTGCCATAAACAAGGTTGGCGGCCTGAATGACAAGAATTGCACAGGAAAACGGTAAGTATCAGAGGTGGCTTCTAAGTTTCTTTCTGTAAGGTCTTTGTAGTAAGTTTTCAGTGACATTAAAACAAGCTCATTACATGAGCAGAGCTGTGCTGACATTTGGAACAACTTCATTTGTGTCACTTGGCGCTTTCTTAACCTCATTCGGTTGATTCTTAAATGGGATTTTGAAATTTGAAATATATAGATGAACTTTAGGAGTTTGAATCTTCTAAAAAAACTGCAAAATTTTGTATGTGAATCTATGGGAAGAAGAGCCATAGCTTTTATGAAATTCCAAAAAAGGTTAAAAAACACCCGGAGTTTCTAGAGAATTTTGTCCAGGTGCATGTGATTTTCTCCTACTGCTATTAGTAGTTCCATACTTGGTACATTTCTATACATTCAAAACCTTTCTTAAGCATAGTGTTTGGTATCAATTTTGGTGTTCAAATGTTCAAGGGCCTTGAAAATATGCTTGATGAGTTAGCAACAACACAGTTGCTTTCTGCTTTCTGAATAGCTTGTTTTTTTTTTTTTCTGTCAGTTTTGTTTTAAGGTTAAAAAAATACACATTTCATTGTGGCACATAGGAAATAATTGGTGGCTACTGTCATTAGCAATGAGATTATAGTCTTTGTATTTTAGGAATACATCATAGAGAAAACTGATTTTACTTGGTGAAAACTCTAGGTACTAAGACTCACTTTTGACTGGTGGTGAAAATAGCCATAGGTCAAATTTTGATAAATTAAAATAACCTACTTTTTTGATTATGAAGCATTATGCAGGTAAAATAAAGTCTGTGTCATGTTGTACTGTTGTGAAACCTTGCACTTTAAATTTAATGTGTTCGGTTGTAGAACACTGAATTGAATGAAAACAATGACTTTCTGAAAGCTGGGTGAAAGCTATTCATTTAATGAGCTGCCATCTTTTATCATGGAATTCAAGGCAAATATTGTAATCATCAAGCTTTGGGGACTTATCTTTTTAAATGTTTCTACTTTAGTTAAACAGTTGGTTTAAATTAGTTTGACCACAGGAATTTTTCGAATGGGTTGTCTTAGTCAATAATCTTGCAAAAAAATCATTCAAGATTTTTAACTGTTTGTTATGATCGTACAGGATTTGCAGTGACATTTATATTTTGTTTTCCCCATATGTGCACTATAGTTGGAGAGCTTTCATTCCTTTTGCCAGCTCAGAGTCCTCTAGGTATACGTTTCTTAGTACTTTTAGTAGAAGACAATTTAGAAAACAATCTTGCTGTCTCTTCTCACATACATCAGTTTATTGTTGGCTTCATGGATAAATCTTTGAGATTATGTTATCTTCAGTTTAAACAATAATGACTTGGAACTGGGGCAGTAGATGGACACAGGCTCTTTATGGTTTCTTTGCAGTTTCCTCCTAGGTATTAAGTGTAGGACAGGTAGCTTGTAAGGAGAGCTTTGAGAATTGAACATTTTATACATCAAAGGTGAGTTGAAGCTGTTCATTAATTTAAATAAATTGGAGTGAAGTCTTTGCAAAGCGCCTCCGTGGCGCACATCGTGGACCTCTAGCACGTCCCCATGTACGTCGTGACCTCTAGGATGCCTTTGTTCCTAGTGCCTGCGAGAACTGTGCTAGAAAATTTCAGCTACTGAATTGGTACATGTGGGTGGTAATAATGGCTTACCTGTCCTACTACTTATTTGTAAGAATCACAGGAGAAATGGCATACCATATATAAATACTATGAAATACTTGACGTTACTATACTGTGATTCTATTCTTAGTAAACTCAGAGGCTCCAGTGTGCAGAGTGACTTTGACTATTCATTGTGATAGCTGGAGCTTCTTTAGCTTCTCTAAGCAATACTTATTTTCTATTAGCTGTTGGCATTAAGGCTTGCTTTTTAGTCTGTCGAAAGAAGGTCACTATTAGTTATCAAGGGGTAACAGTCTAATTCTAATGAATTAAAAAAAAAAAAACAAACCCAAACTAACAATGACAAACAGCTATCAGCTCCTCGGAAAATTTTACAGTATTTCCTTATTGCAATTTTTTGAAATTAAGACAAAGTTTTCTTAGGGTTTCATGGTATTTACTTTTCTTCTTTTTGTAATTTTATTTCTGCAACAATTTGAATATCATAATAGGTCATTTTTGCCTACACTTGGGTAGCACTAGAAAATGTTAAATAATTTCACGACTATCAGCCTACCCATAGTTTTTTCATCATTATGCAAAGGTACTCATATATAGCTCATGGTTCTGAAGATGACTGGAACTTTTAAAAAGTATATCTTGAAAATGATCGAATCTAATGGTTATAATTATATGTAGTATCATGGTACAACTCAAATATTTCATTCTATGCCTGAAATTCATATTTTGCTGGAAAAGTTGGACTTCATGCTGATGGAGAGTTAAAGTGTTAGAATGAGGCCCTTCCGAGTGGCTCAGTGGGTTAAAGCACAGCACTAAGAAGCTAAAGCCACTTTAGCATGAGTTCCATCCCTGCCTGCCCTGGAGGTGACCCACATGGCGCGGCAGACCTCTCCTGACCCCTGTCTGCTGTTCCCCTCAGCAGTGTACTTAGTTGATCTGCCTGTTCTGCTCCCCACTCTGTCTCTGGTAAATCCTCTCATCACCCCTGCACCTCTGGCTTGTACCCCAGTTCTGTATGCATAAATAAATCTTAAAAAAAAAAGTTAGAATGAGCTAGTCCCCCTTCGCAAAATAAATTTCACTTTTAAATCATGTCTACTAAAAACTCAGTGCAGTGAATTTATGAAATTTGTTCACTTTTTTTTGAGATTAGACTTTATATCAGTAAAATTTTGCCATAGTGTAAATTATGTATAATTAATTCTGTTTATGAAATTAGGCTCAAATTTTAAAATATACAACCTCCTCCCCCCAAATGCTTTATAGGTGTAGCTCAACAACTTCCTCTTCCATGCCTTCTGTTGCCTGTACTTCTTCCCACTACCCATCTTTTTCTCCCCACTTTCCACCCCCCACCACACCTGTGGATTTTGGGTTTTGTTTATATTTCACTGTGGTTAAAAGGACAAGGGCTTTTTTTTTTTTTAAGATTTTTTTATGCATACAGAACTGGGGTACAGGCCAGAGGTGCAGGGGCGGCGAGAGGCTTCACCAGAGACAGAGTGGGGAGCAGAACAGGTAGATCAACAAGTACACTGTGAGGGGAGCAGCAGACGGGTCAGGAGAGGTCTGCCGCGCCATGTGGAATCTCCTCCCGGGCAGGTTGGGGCAGGCTGGGATCGAACTCTTGCGGAAGTGGCTTAAGCTTCTCAGTGTTGTGCTTTAACCCCCTGCGCCACCACAGCGGGCCAGGACAAGGACATTTTTTTAAACTTTGAAGGAAAGTGTGGCCCTGGTTGAACCTGCACAAAACATGGAGTTTGCAAGATGCATTTGCAGTACTTCACAGGACTTGCTCCTTCCCTGTTTTGCACTTAGAGGCGCCATCAAGTGGAAACATCACGAACTGAAACTGCTACTGCTGAACTACTGCCAAGCACTACTTAGAAACAGTTTTGCCTTTTTATTTGAAGGAATAAAGCTGTTTAGTATCATGAATTATGGGAAAGCTGTGAACTGAAAATAATGAGGCCAGAGATGTAGTTGGCAATTGGAGTTTAAGCAGCCAGTATATTTGTTATCTTTTTAAACCAGAGTTCTCAGGGAGAGCAAGTCAAGAGACATTAGATGGTGGATCCACCATCCAGGATAGTGTGGCCAGTTAGAGCTTGAGGTCTCTCTGTCCTTGTGGCCTTGCAGTAGTTTGGGAAGTATATGAGTGAAAATTAGCAATGCGACTAATGATAAATGCTTGCCATGGATGTCAGGTTAGGGTCACCATGAAAATGTGGAGGAAAACAAACTGGAAGAGAAGGGAAGCCTTTGCAGGCAGTGAAGGCATCTGAGAGCTGTGTGGGTCAATCAGAGGGGTCCAGGGTGGCTGAGGTGGAGAGTTTTTTTCAGAAACTAGTGAGGTCAGAATTGAGATAGATTAAATTATAAAGACTAAAGTTTGACTTGTTATATCTTTATAAGAATGAGCTAACATAAGAAGGTATACTATTTCATGACTGAATGAATTTTTAGATATGTCGTGAGGCAATTTTAATGGCTTTTTTTCCTATTTAGAAAGTACTAATGATATTTAATGTCAGTTGAAGAGTTTTTTTTTTTTTAAAGATTTATTTTATTTGTACATACAGAACTGGGGTACAGGCCAGAGGCTCAGGGGCGATGAGAGGCTTCACCAGGGACAGAGTGGGGAGCAGAACAGGCAGATCGACCAAGTACACTGCTGAGGGGAGCAGCGGGCGGGCCAGGAGAGGTCTGCCACGCCATGTGGTCACCTCCGGGGCAGGCGGGGCTCGAACTCATGCGGAAGTGGCTTTAGCTTCTCAGTGCTGTGCTTTAACCCACTGCGCCACCAGGGAGGGCCCCAGTTGAAGAGTTTTGAGGGTATTGATCTTCAAAGTTTCTTCTGTTCATAATTTTTAATTCTATGAAATTAAAAGTAACTTACCTAGAAGAAATGTAATTTACAAGGATACTTGTTTTAATTATATTTAATGGTATAAATTTAAATAGGAATAGCTGGCTCAGAAATTTCAGTGTTAACCTTTAAGTTCTAAAGGGTGACAACCAGTCTTCTGTTATTTGGGTAAGAGAAAAAATAAATGGAACTAGGTCATATATATGTGATAAAGGGTTGATATCCAAAAACTAAAGAAATTTATACAGCTCAGTGGCATTAAAATACCTTACAAAGCCCAAACAGTTCAATTAAAAAATGGACAGAGGATCTGAATAGACGTTTTCTCAAAGAAGACATAAAACTGGCCAGCAGTGTTAAGGATGTGGTGAAAAGGGAATCTTATGCTCTGTTGGTAGGAATGAAAAATTGATGCAGCTGTTGTGGAAAATGGGGTAGAGATTCCTTAAAAGTTTAAAAATTATTACTTTATCAAACAGTTCCACTTATGTTTATTCATAGAAAATTAAAACACTGTTTATTCATAGAAAATTAAAACACTATCTCAGAAAGATATCTATACCTCATTGTGGCATTATTTACAGTAGCATGGAAACAACCTGTTTTCATCAGTGCGTGAATGTATAAAGAACAATTTTTTTTTAAAGATTTTTTTATTTATGCACACAGAACTGGGTTACAGGCCAGAAGTACAGAGGCGGTGAGAGGATTCACCAGAGACAGAGTGGGGAGCAGAATAGGCTGATAGACGAAGTACACTGCTGAGGGGAGCAGCGGGCGGGTCAGGAGAGGTCTCCCTGGCCATGTGGTCACCTCCGGGGCGGGCAGGGATTGAACTCATGCAGAAATGGCTTTAGCTTCTTAGTGCTGTGCTTTAACCCGCTGCGCCACCAGGGAAGGCCCAAGAAAATGTTTTAATGACAGACCTTGCAGGTCCCAGTAGGATATACCATGTATACCTATACTATGTGATATGGCAATACCATGTCATATAGTGTAAGTCTGTAGTAGGTTGTATCATTTGGTTTGTGTAGTTACACTGATGTTCACATATTGATGAAATCTAACAATACGTAACTTCTCAGCACATATCCCTGTCATAAAAGATGGCTAAAAAAAGATGTAATGAAGTATTACTACTCAGCTATAGAAAAAGAAGGAAATCTTGCCTTTTAGAGCAAAATGAGTGGCTCTTGAGGATGTTATGCTAAGTGAAAGGAAAAAAATGCCCTGTGATCTTATGGCTACATATAATCCTAAGACATAAAAAACAAAACAAAGCAAAACAAATGCCTTATGATACTTCTGTGGAATCTAAAAGAAAACAACTAAACTCAGAATACAGACTGGTGGTTGCAAGAGGTGAGGGGTAGGCTGTGAAATAAAAGGTCAAAAGATACAAACTTTAAATTGTAAAGCAAATTATGGGGATATAATGTACAGTGTTATCATTAGCACTCATGGTGACTATAGTTAATATTGTATATATAAAAGTTGCTGAGGGAGTACTTAAAAATTCTCATCACAAGAAAAAGTTGTAATGATGTGAGGTGAATGTCAATTAAATTTACTGTGGTGATCATTCCACAGTATATGCATATAGTGAATCATTGTACCCCTGAAACTCATGTAATATGTCAGTTATCTCAAAAAAAAAGGGAAGATATAAACAAATTAGGATTAAGATTGTAGACACAATGGCATTCCAAAATCTGGTATACTTGCTAGAGGTAGTTGTTAAAAGTCTTGACTGTTTTAGTAGCCACGTCAAAGAGGGACCCACAGCAACAGTTGGACACACCTGTGGTGACAAATGAAGACAAGCATAGCTACTCTCAGATATCAGCCTTGATTTATAATGTTCCTCAGCCTAGATTGGTAACATAACACCAAGTACAATTTAGTACAAATTTCTTGGAATATGAAACTCTATAGCCCAAGTAGGCATTTCTTTGATGCTCTAGCGTAGCTTAAGAATAAAGTAACAGTCTGTTAAGCAGTGATTCTTGACTAGCGATTCTTCTTGGCTCACACTCTTCCTTGGGAAGTTGATGGGTCTGGATTCCTTTCCTCTCAATGCACATGCACACAGTCATACCACATTGTGCATGTTATTTCAGTCATTTCACAATTTCAGAGGTTATACTCCCCTGCACCCCCACTTCCACTATTCACAAACTCTAGGTGAACACCCTTGAAGTAGAGTTGGGAGGAGGCTATAGTAGGAATATGTGCTGGGACTCAGGGGTGTTTGTGCTGAAAGGGACAGACTCATCTGTGTTAGTAGGAATTGAAATTGAGGATGAAATTGATTTCCATTTATGAAAGTTGATGAGGTTGGCAGGACATGTCTGAACAAAAGACATTCCACTTTGGCATGAATGTGGTCAGGAATGTGATTTTTTTTCCTTAGAGAGCAACTGAATCTAACACACTAAAAAGGATTGTAAAATTCTATCATAGAGAAAGTTCTGATGATTTTAGCCTAAGAATTATAGATGTTAACAGGTATCTGAGCTACTTTTAAATATACAAATTTTTATTTTTTTTATATTTTGTACTCTTGTTAAACAGTTTATGTATAGGATGTCCAACTTTACTTGCAGCTTCTAGGTGAGCCTGAACTAAATATTGTTGTGTAATGTTGGGAAACTGAAAGACTTTTTGTTTTGGGAATGCTGTATCTTTGAGCTAGTTCCATATTGAAACCTATCTGTTTATCCAGTTATTTTGCTTTAAGATTTTCATTAACTGTAGCTTCTTTTGCATTTCAGTGTTTTAATCTTGGGTGCTTCAGGTGGAGTTGGTACTTTTGCTATACAGGTAAACTAATTTATTTTGTGACTAGGAATATTATTTTCATGAATTTATAAATTTACATTATAAATTATTTTTCCTTAATAGGTAAGAGAAAGGTAGGTTCAGTAAATTCACTGTAATGTCTGCTTGAAGTGTTAATCTTGTCAGAGTTTTAATGTATGAGTTAGTTTGTGAATGTCCTATACAACAAATGTAGGAAAGCATTGAGGAGAAAGACCATGGGCAGTACACTTGGATGGAAGTTTGTAATTATTATAAATTGATAAACTAATTCTAAAATGTATATAGAAATGCAGTAATTAAACTACTGTAAAGATGGCAATACCATCTTGTAGTAATCTATAGATGCAATGCAACCTTATTAAAATTGCAGCTGTCTTTTTTGCATCCATGGACAAGCTGATCCTAAAATGCATATGAAATTACAAAGGACCCCAAGTTACTAAACAGCCTTGAAAATGGACAAAATTGGGCTCATAAGTCTCTGTTTTTAAACTTCCAAGAAAATAACAATAATTAAAACAGACATAGGATAGAGCTTGTAGATTAATGAAATTGAGCATTAAAAATAAACTCTTACATCTTAGGACATTAAAAGGGAAAAAGAAGTGCTGGGATACTATTTTCAATGAGTTCTTCTGAGACCACTGCATATCCAAATGCAAAAGAATGAAGTTGAACTCCCTACCTTACCTCATGTACAACAACTAAAACGGGACCCCAGACACCTAAATGCAAGCACTCAGACCTTTAAACACTAGAAGAAAGCATATGTCTTTATGTAGGATTTGCAACAGACTAGTAGTTCTGATACCAAAAACAAAAGCAACAGAAGAAAAAAAATAAGACTTAATCAAAATTAAAAACATGTTTACATCAAAGAACGTTATCAAGAAAGTATAAAGGCAGTATAGAATGGGATCAAATGCAAATGATCTGCAGATCATTTACCTGTTAGGGGTGTAGTGGCCAGAATCTATAAAGAGCTCATACAACATAACAGAAAAACACCCAACTTAAAAAAGAGCAAAGGATTTGAATACACATTTCTTCCAAGAAGATAGACAAATGGGCAATAAACCCAGGAAAGATGTTCACTATCTTGGTTTTTACGGTTAGAGTGGACAACATTATCATTTACCTGATCTTCAAGGAAAAGCTTTGTCATTACGAAACGCAAACCAAAACTTAAATGAGATGCCACTTCACATCTATGAAGATGGTTGTAATTTTCTTAACAGAAATATAAGTTGTCAAGGTTGTATGGAAATTGAAACTTGTATATTGTGGGAATGTAAAATGGTGTTGCCATTATGGGAGCAATTCCTTAAAACATAAATTGCCATATAACTCACTGATTCCATTATATACCTGGGAGACATGAAAACATGCTCAGACAAAAGCTTGTTCAGTTATTCAAAACGTCATCAATAGTCAGTAGCTAAAAAGTGAAAATATTCTAGTGTCTTATCAGTTTATGAATAGATGAGCAAATGTACACTATACACACACTGGAATATTTTGAACCATAAAGGAGAATGAAGTGGCTTTTGTTTTTTAAAGCAAGGTTATGTATTGGTCAGTGGTTGGAAAGGCTTTAACTAGTCTCTCAGGAACCTAATTCTGTATTTCTTTTTTTTCTTTATTTCCTTAAATTTGAGGTATATACATATATTTGGTTTATAACACTATGATTTAGGGGGGTAAGATCACAATTCCTTAGATGTATGTCACTGCATCATACCCACCATTAAAGCATCCATAGTCTTTTACTTCAGGACATTTGGCTCCTTCCCTGCTTTTTCCTTCCATATAAGTGAAATTATCTGGTATTTGCCTTTCTCCTCCTCACTTACTGTATTAATATATTCCTCTCTGCTTCCACCCATGGTGTCATGAATGGCAAGCTTCCCACTGCATCTTAATCCCCTCTTCTGCCTTTTGGATGCTTGGGTTGTTTCCATAACTAGGCTGTTGTAAATAATGCTGCAGTGAACACAGGAGTGCCTATATCTCCTTCAGTTGGTATTTTTGAAATTTGGGTAAGGTTTCTAGGATTGGAATTAACGGGGTATTATGGTAATTCTATTTTTAATACTTTTCATAGGGGCTAGGTCAGTCAGCCCCACTAACAGTGTACAGGTTTTCCTTTTTCTACATCTCCTTACCAGTCTTTCTGATTTTGTTGTTGTTTTTGTTGTTTTGATATGGGTCATTCTCGTGGGCGTAAGATATACCAGTGTATTTATATTTGCATTTCCCTGATAATAAGTGATAATTGATTTTTTTTCATGTTGGCCATCTGTATGTCTTCTTTGGGAAGTGTGTTTAGCTTTTCTGCTCATTTTTTTTATTAGGTTCTTTGTTTTCTTTTTGTTGAGTTACAAGTTCTCTGTGTATCTTGGATGTTACCCCCTTATAAAATATATGATATACAGGTATTTTCTCCCATTGAGTAGTATGTCCTGTCATTTTTATGATAGCTCCTATTATTGTGCACAAGCTCTTTAATTTGATGCAGTCCTATTTTGCTTTTGTTTTCCTTGCTGTTGGAGCTGAGTTCCCAAGGACATTACTGAAGGCAGTATAGTAGAGTCCTTTGCCTTTGTTTTCTTAATGTGTGTGTGTGTATATATACATATGTGTGTATGTATATATATGTGTGTTATTAATATAATACATTATTAATATATATTACATAGATATATATAAATATGGTTTCCAGTCTTACATTCAAGTCTTGAGACCATTTGGGTTAATTTTTGTTGTATGGTATGAGAGTAGAATAGTCTAATTTTTCTACATGTAGTTGTCCAGTTTTCCCACATCATTTTTGAGGACACTTTCATTCTTCTATTGCACTCTTGGCTCCTTATTGTAGATTATCTATAAAAATGTCGATTTATTTTTGGACTCTTAATTCTATCCCATTGGTCTAGGTATTATTTTTAATCCAGCATCATATTATTTTGATTACTATAAACTTGTGGTATAGTTTGAAGTTTGGGAACATGATATACTTTGATGTAATTGCTTTTGGTACTCCTTTGTTTGGTGCATATATATTGATGTGTTAGGTCTTCCTGATGTTTTGATCCCCTGATCATGATATAATATCCACAGTTGCTCTTGATACCCTTTTTAACTTGAACTTTATTTTGTTTGATATAAGTATGGCTGTCCTTGCCAACTTTGGTGTTCCACTTGTTTTCCAATCATTTACTTTGAGCATATGTTTATCATTGGAACTCAGTCTTCTGGAGACAACAGAAAGGTGAATTTTGTTTTTAAATCAACCAGCTATTCTGTACCTTTTGATTAGACAGTTCAATATTTACATTTTACTTTTCAAATTCCCTAGGCAAATAAACCTTTGATCAATTCTACTTTTAAAAAACAATAAAATAAATTATAGTTTTAAGTCTTTTTTTTTAATACTCAGTAGCTATCTGTGTAGCACAAAGTGGGATTCATTAATGAACAAAACCATAGATCTTTGATATTTTAGTGAATTATTACAACTTAGACATTTAGTGTATGATACTTAGGGAAGGATTGAGAAAACATCTAATCTGTTATGACAACTATCAGTACAGAAATTTCTCAGTGAATTCCAAGTAACTATTCACACTTTAGACTGATAATGAAATTGTCATTCTACAAAAGAATTACAGTGATTTTGGAACAGGATGATTTCTTGGATGCTTAATCCTGAACAAAATCAGAATTTAGTTCTCCTTTTTAAGTCTAGTTGTTTCTTATTGCTTTAAAACTTAAGGCATCTGCATTTTAAATCCTGGGAACTGCTTGTATACCCAGAGGAAGAGGACCTGATCATTGTTCTGAAATAAAATATCTCTATTTTCTACCACCTCTTTTTAAGAGCACATTTTTGTGTTAACCTAGTAAAATGACAGATGGTTGCTTTGACTCAAGACTATAATACTAACTAGAGATGCAAATAAAGAGCTGTTCCATTTTAATGTTCAGGATACTTTTAACATAGTTATTTCTTAGTACATGAATTTTTTTTACCCATTTACTTTTGTCATCATTGAAAACACTTAAACTTGGAGCAATCAGCTTCTCTCTTTTCTGATTCTGGTGAGGCCCTGAGACCACCCCTAAGAAGACTGGTTAAAACTTCAATGACAAGGTGACTGACTGTCTCAGGGAAAATGAGATCTAGGTCTTGGATTTTCTTAGTGAGCGTGAGCTTAATCATTTTTACTAGTCTCAGACAGATGGCTTCCTGTAGTTCTTGCTAAGACAAAAAGCACTTAGAGTTCTCCAGAGATTAGGCTAATACATGTACACATGATGCTAACTAATTTTTTAAATTTTTTTCTGTGGCCCCTCCCCCCCCTTTTTTTTTTTTTTTGTTGACAGGTACTGAAAGCATGGAATGCTCATGTGACTGCAGTTTGCTCTCAGGATGCCAGTGAACTTGTAAGGAAGCTCGGGGCAGATGATGTAATTGACTACAGATCTGGAAATATGGAAGAGCAATTGAAATCTTTAAAATTGTATGTATTAGAATAATGTTCACTTGGGGAAGGTGGGGATAAGAACAGTTGATAACATAGGCCTGAGAGGATTTGGTAGCCTGACAAAAATACTGAAATATTTCCTAAGATTTCAGGTCATTAAAAGTTATAACTGTAATGACTCCAGATGTTAATACAGCACAGTAACATAATATGATAACTGAGAAGGAATTTTTACTAATTTTTAAATTACATTTATTCCTGTTTTGTAGGAGGTTTGAAGGCATAATTGGGAGTGTGTCCCTTTCTGAAGTATCCATCACAAGGAAGAACAGAGTAGTACATAAAAATACATGACTAGCACTAAACATGTATTTGGTGTTTTAGCTTGATGAGGGCTTCAGAGAACCAAAGGCCATGCATATCAGTAATGGGCGCACGGTGGAAGTTCTCTGCATGTGAGCCAGCAGTGCTTTGGCCTAGTATACCAAACCGGAGCAGATTCAGGAGTTCCTCAGCTGATTGGTCCTCCCTGTATCTTGGGCAGAAATAGGAAGGCAGCTTATTAATCTGGTTTTCATTCAGCTGTGACAAAACTGAAGCTGAAAGTACAACCAGGAAATATTTGGAAAACTGTTTATTGTTTTTATCTCCTTTTTAATTTTCCCCTGTTTGGGCATTTCTTGGTTTTGTTTTGTTTTGTTTTTTTTTTTTTAAAGATTTATTTATTTATGCATACAGAAGTGAGGGGTACAGGCCAGAGGTGCAGGGGTGGCGAGAGGCTTCACCAGAGACAGAGCGGGGAGCAGAACAGGCAGATCGACGGAAGTACACTGCTGAGGGGAGCAGCGGGTGGGTCAGGAGAGGTCTGCCACGCCATGTGGTCACCTCCGGGGCAGGTGGGAATCGAACTCATGTGGAAGCAGCTTTAGATTCTCAGTGCTGTGTTTTAACCCGCTGCGCCACCAGGGAGGGCCCTGTTTTGTTTTGTTTTAAAGAAAAAAAAAGGTAAACAAAAGGATCCCCCATTTAATCCTACCCAGTGTTTCTCAATCAGCACCATCCTCTCCCAAAAGGAGATGGCAGTAAATTTGGAGCAGCCAGCTGCTCCACTTCTTTAGAGAGCCTTCTTCTTGCTGGGCAGCTTGAAACCTGGAATACAGGCACAATGGTGAATGAGGCAGACCCCCCTTCCATGGAGCTTACATTCTGGTGAGGGAGTTTCAGTGGTAAATGCTTTCAAGAACATTGATATGGAGAAGGGGAGAACAGATGAGGCAGGAGCTTTTTTAGGTGGTTTGAGCGGTTCCTTCTTTGAACAATGGGTTTTTTTTTTAACTTGTTCTCTGCGGTAGCCCTCTCTTCTAGAACAGTATAGTAACATGTACTAAGTGCTCAATAAATATTTGTTCAATGAATTATTGAGGAAAACTGGGAGAAGAGCACTTGTTCCAAGTAGAGATAACAAATCTGAAGCTGTCTTCATAGGAACATGCTTGACATGTTTGAGGAATAACGTTGTCCCTTTCCGAGATCTTGTCAGCTCCCTTCCTGCCCATATGCCAGGAAGTTGGTCTCTTTGGGCTTCCGAGATCTGCTTCCCAGATAAATGGTAGTTTCATTTAATCTTATATGCTTCTAGTACTAACAGCATGAAACTGAAGCCATGGCCAGCCCATTTCCCTCTAACTGAAGTTTTTATACATGGCTGGAATTTGTTACTGGAGAACAGAGCACCTGACGGACAGAAGAGTAGTCTTGCTTTTTTTTCCAGAACAGGGACCTTACTAGCTGACCAATGAAGGCTGTTATTTTTTTTATTCCCCCTGACTGCTTTAGTTAAATTGATGTTCATATTTTCTGCCTAGAGTTTGACCTTTGAATCCACCTAGTATAAGCTTGTTCCTCTTTCCCAGTAGCAGGTTTTTAGATTTGAATCTTAGACTTATACAAGAAAGGGCTTTGAAACCCTTTAGTACAAATTTTATCATGTGTAGTTAAGAAAAGAAAGGCCAGAAGATTTCTGAGTTTTTGCATACTCAGGTCATGCTACTTAATCATCAGTGGGAGGGTTGATTCTCTAACTGGTCTCCAGACTTTTGCAGGGGGTGGTAAGTAGTGACTGTTCTATAATACCAGATTACCTTTAAGTTTCACTTAAGTTAACTGTTACATTTGCTTGTCCAAAATTTGAGAATGAAGTAGAAACTTGAAAATAGTAAAAGTGAAAACTTAAATTCATGAAGAAAAGTTTATTTTCTGATGATAATAATAAATTTCTTAAGATCATTCTGCAGTTCATATTCTTCAGTTTTTATTTATCTTTGTTGAACTTAGTCCTATAAAAGACTCAGTATCCACAAAGTTGGCCATAACTAGTTTTGGAAGCTTTGATGTCTGACTTTATCCAGATGAAATCTAGAAAGGAATTAATCTTCTAGTTTGCTTAATTTATAAACATACATTCTTTAACTAGAACTTTGTTTTCAAAAGTATATTAAAGCTTCTTTAACTTTTATTCACTTTAAATAGGAAGTAATGGTTATAATAGTTTTAAATTTAAGGATTTGAGTGTCTGTATTCTGTGGATTCCTTTCTGACTGGATTTTTTTGGCATGTTAAAGCAGAATTGAAAACTGAGAGCAGGTTGTTATTTTCTTTCTATGTATTGTCCTGATACTGTGTGTGTAGTGGGGGGTGGAGAGAGAGAGAAGCACTCCAGAAGGTAAAGAGGATCGTTCTACAAGTACTTCTGCCTGTGAAGGAAATAAAAGCATGAAAACCTTATATACTTCTTTCAAGTACTCATGTGAGTTAGAGAATACTTTGACTTATGTTAGATGGAGAACTTTGAGGTTTTCCTTAAAGCTTGAGTCAAGATTTCTCAATCTCAGCAACCTTACTTTCTCATCTGTTAATATTTTCAGCTGGATACTTTTTTTTTTAATTTTTTTTTTATTTATTTGTGCATACAGAACTGGGGTACAGGTCAGAGGCTCAGGGGCAGTGAGAGGCTTCACCAGAAACAGAGTGGGGAGCAGAACAGGCAGATTGACGAAGTACACTGCTGAGGGAAGCAGCGGGCGGGTCAGGAGAGGTCTG